AGTATTCTTGATTATGTTAGTTTGATCTGAAACAAAATTATTGCAAATCATGGCTAATTTGCTATCTTGACTTAAAATTGTCATACTTAATTGATTGACAAACTCATCTCGTATTCAACTATCATCCTTTTAATGCTATATAATATAAACTACTTAATTTAAACATGCTATCATACCCTTATATTTTTTGTTGCGAAACCAATACCTTTATTACATAAATATAAGTGATCAAATGTTCAAAATAATCCAATTTAAATTTGAATTTGGAATTTGGAAAAAAATTGTTAGATAAATTTGGATTATTGATGAACCAATAAGGTTGTCAATTTGGTATAGGCCATTTCCTATATTAAAGACTAACTCATCTATAATTATTATTAAAATTCAAAGGGATAATATGATCAAATTGACAAACTATAATTAAATTTTAAAATAACTATAATTAAAATACAAGTAATGACTCAAGACATTGTTCGGCCCAAAAACTAGTTCAAAATCAATTACTAATTATCATATTCTATTTACTTTCTATTAATTTATTGCCCTGTTTTAATTTCCTATGTTTTGGCACAAATGATTATTTAGATTTGCTTTCCTTTTATTTTTCCAGTCAACTTTACTTTGTATTTGAAACACATAATCCAAACCCAAACTATTAAAGCAACTTAACAAAAAGTTAGACTCAAACCAAAATGAGCTCAATTGATAGTTCTTTTTTTTTTTTTTTTTTTTTTTTTTTTTAATTTTTTTTAATGAAACTTTATATCAAAAACAAAATGATGAGTCACTCAATCATGATCTAAACCAAATGTTTTCGAACCAAACATGATTCAAGTCACCCACTTACCATCTTTCAGTGGATAAACTTAACTTGAACCCGACCCAAAATATATTATCAGCCTAATTTACTAGAGACAGCTAAAAGGAGCAAAGGTGGAAAACAAACAAAGCATCAACACTATAGCACCATAAAAGCCACTCAGAAAAAAACAGGATCAAATTACACAGAGCATAAGTCTAATCTCAAGAAACCCCAAATAAACAAAAACTAAAAAATTTACAGCCCCCAATATTTTTCTCAGAGAATCTCTGCATCTCAGTTCATCTCTTTCCTCTCATTCATTCATTCATATTCTCTCTCTAAATACCCAGAAAACCCCTTCATCTGGGTTTTTTTCTCTTTCATTCAAAAACCCCAAAAAAGTTAAAAAAAAAAAACCAAATAAACTAGAAAAAATGGAGATCCCAGAACTGTTGATGAAGTTCAAATTCCATTTAATTGCTGGGATTTTATTATCTGGTTCAGTTGTTACTATAATAAGTGTTGCTCCTAGATTTGTTGATCTTTTGGCTTATTTTTGGCCACTTTTAGCTTCAACGGCTCTATTTTTGGCGGTGGTTGTTGTGTTCAGCCGTGTATCGCCGCCGTCTGCCGACGGTCCCGGCGAGAAAGCCGCCGAGGGTCTCTTGGATTACGTCGCCGGACAACCGGAAGCATTTGTTGATACTTCAACCTTGAATGAGTGAGCAACAATGACAAAATATAATGTAAAACTTTTTTATTTTTTTTATTTTTACTTCGTCATTTTAATTTGTAGAGTAATAATTAATTCCTACTCCCCATATTTTCTCTCTCTCTCTCTTTTTTTCCTTTTAATTTCATTTCCTCTTATCTTTAAGTTTTCTTTGTGATTTGTTAGAGTTTTTATAAAGATGAAATGTAAATTTTTAGGGGAGAATAAAAATTGAAATAAAATTAATAATAATTTTAATGTTTCCCTTCAAAAAAAAAAAAAAAAATGTTTCCCTTTTTTTTCTTTAGGATTTTAATGGGGGTATTGGAAATAACTCGAAAAATGGAGATCCCATCTCTTTGTTAGATTTTACATGTGTGAAATGTTTTGATTGGAAAATTGACAAGTAATACTCGCTTTGCCTCGGAATCAATAGTCAATTAAGTCGCGTAAATAGTATAATTTGAAGTATTGAACGAGCTAAGTAACGTGACAACTAAATCTCGAAAGAAATAAGATCTTAGTTTAATAATTTTATGCACATTGACATTTTATAATGTATGTACTTTAGCATTATAAAGTTCAAGATATTAATGGGAAATAAATGGTTAATCAGAGTAGTATGAATTTGTTGGTTTGTTTGGCTAGCTTTCACTTTCACTATCAATAAATCTATCATAACTTACAAGAAGAGAAGCCTGATTTCTTATCCTACGCCGCGGAGCCCAGTGCGCATCGCAGAAAATAGAAATAGAAGCAAAAATGGTAAAAATGGCATATAAATGGTCTTAATTTAGGTAACATAATTACGGAGTACTTTGCTAGATTAATAAGCATTGTAATATTTGTATATGCACTAGCAGTCGTTCAAAGTTGATAATGCACAAATTCGACTTAAACCATGTTACTATTTGACTAGTGTATCTGTGTATATACTGTACCATTTGTAGTTTTGGACAAGCTAAGCAAGGTTAGCAGTAGGATCGTGATTAGTTGGCTAATATAGTCCTCAGACATATTGTTGATCATATAATAAGCATTTATCTACCTCCATAACCTATGATTAACTCGATGAAATACGATGGGATTATTCATAATAGAGGGATTTGATAAATAGGTGACATGGTTGGTTTGTTAGCTATAAAAGAATCTACCACCAAATTGGCTATAGTTATACCTATAAACCATTAGTTAAGAAATTGTACATACGTAATCGATTTATAGTCGTGGAGAATTCAATTATAGATTTCCTAACTTGAGCAAGATGGAATCAAAGTACTCAATATTCACCACTTCAAACCACCAAATTAAAAGTTTGTAAAATGCATGCAAACTTGCATATATCATCAAAGTATATCCTACCTCTTTGCATGATTCCAAACTTGCATAAATAGATCTATCCCGACAAAGATATTTAACTTGTATTTTCTCTTTTTGAAGCCACCCCTTGTTTAGTTGTGATATAAATTTGAAAAAAAAAGTCTGTCCTAACTTTTATGAGACTCTAATTAATTATGAGATACCCTTGTTTAATTGCGATATTTTTAAAGCCACCCCTTGTTGTAATGACCTGCCCCATCCCTAGTAGAGGTGTCAATTCGGGTACTTGGGTTGGGTTCGATGCGTTCAGGTCGGGTCGCGTTTATTTCAAGATTGAGTCATGCTAAATTATTGTGTCCATATAAGTCGAAATTGATCTGAATTGGGGTTTTTCAGGTCAGATCGAATTGGGTCGATCGAGTTAGTTTTTGACACCTCGACTCTACTCATGTTGGGTTGGTAGTTTCAACATTAATGTAGTTTAAACTTCTATGCGTGGTACTCCGTATTTGTCTTTTGACCTACTCCACCTTTTCTTATGTATGTAACGGTATAGGGTGTAGTTTGAAACAAATGGTTTAGTATAATGTAGTATAGTTTGAAAAATATCTAGAAAAGTTTAAAAACACAGGGCCTTATTTAGTTCGCTGAATCAAACAGTCCATAGTGAGTGATTATTTCCTTCTTAAATAAAATAGGTAAAAGGTTGTATGTGATGGTGTAGTAATCAGTGCCTTAGGGGCTGTTCTGATTTACTGAAAATAACTGAAGTGAATTGAACTGATTGGGGCTGAACTGAACTAAGATATTTGACTATGGATTAATGATTTTAACTATGGATTAGTAATGATATTAATCCACTAATAATAATAATGATAATAATAATAATAATAATAATAATAATAATAATAACAACTCCTCTTCGACCTGCAAATGTGTTGCTTTATTCTTGGGATAGAGGCCTTGATGTCTGGGTTGTCTGACTTTGTTCCTGGTCGTGTTGTGTCGGCTGCGGCTCAGCGGAAGCGGGACATGTATATATGGGGCGCGTTGTAGGGCTATTGGCTATGGTATCCTTCCTTTCTCCTTTTCTTCATAGGGAGAATTAGATAAGGATGTTGTTGCGTTGCTGAAGCGGGTTCAGGTGTTCGCTAGGACTCATGATATTGGTGCCCGTACAGCTGCTCACATCTTCAGCAGGATCGGGTTCGCTATAGCTAGAGGGGTGGGGGCCCAGATTGTATCTCGGCTCTCCACTAATTTCTTGTAAACTGATTGACTTTGTAGGTTTCTGTTATATAATAATAATAATAATAATAATAATAATAATAATAATAATAATAATAATAATAATAATAATAATAATAATAATAATAATAATAATAATAATAATAATAATAATAATAATCATTAGCAATATCATTAGACATAAAGATGAACTAATCTGAACAAGATCGGCCCAAGGCATGCCTAAACTAAATTGTCATTAACAATATCATTAGCTAAATCATATAAAACAAATAAATTAGCAAAAGAACTGAACTGATTGGAGTGGAATTAAACTAAATTGAAACTGATTGGAGCAGAACTGAACTAAACAAAATTGAAATTAAGCTGAATAGAACAGACCTTAGTGGTGAAATAACTCCTCATTTTAGATCTTTTCATACTCCTATAACTTTTGAATTAAGTGAAAATAAGGCGAATGAGGTATGACACTAGTAACTCTTGTACAAACACAACCATTCTAGTGTCTAAATTTTGAATATAAAATTTCTGATATTTGGCCTGATCCAATTTGGTTCAGACTTGAATAGATGAAAAGCCATCATGCATTCACTGAACATGGTGCTGAAACTTGCATTATTATACCATTAATTAGGAACATGGTAATAACTGTGTGCTTATTAAAAACCATAAATTCAACCTGAACTTGCATAACTCATTAGTAGTATGTCATACTTTATTTCTTAGTTGTTCACTTGTTTGTGCGTTTATGAAGCTACAGCAACTGGATTGATGAGAAAATCACCATACAAAAGGCAATAAAAGCTATTACAAGATATTCATACATATATACTTCGTATGTAACACTTGAAATTTTAGTTCCTTCTTGTTCTTGCTCTTCTTCCTCATCTACGTATCAAATTGATCGTTCCGAAAAAATCAAGCAAAGCCAACTCCATTTTTGTCAGCCAAATTGATAAACCAAAAGGGTTTTCCCACAGAAAACATATAATATCCCCAAGCCATCCCAACAACGATGCCACTGCAAAAGCCCATCACAATAGTTTCCCACTCCTTCAATGTGCTCCCATGATCTTCAGAATCATCGTCTTCGTTGTTGTTCACGAATGGCGTGCTATTTCCTCCACACTCAGGCAACGGATCCCCACACAATGCAAGATTCCCCTTGTATGAATCGGATGAGAATGTATTGAAGTTGTTCCCTTGAGGTATAGGCCCTTCCAGTTGGTTTTCTGAAACATTAAAGACCTCAAGAAATGTCACACTAACAAGTTCTTGTGGGATACGACCAGTGAGCATGTTGGACGAAAGGTCCAAGCAGTCCAGCAAGGACAACATCCCGATGGATGGAGGGATGTGCCCAGTAAGGCGGTTATTTGAGAGATTAAGGCCTCGCAATGACACCAAATGCCCTATGGAATCTGGAATCTCTCCCTCAAATCTGTTTTTCGACATATCAAAAGTCGCCATTGTGGTGATGATCTTTTCATATTTCTGCACATTCCCCTTAAATGTTAACGTGATGGAATATGAGTACTGCTGGATGTCAGTACTGGATGTCATGTACTGTGGACTATCAAGACTTGACCCATTCATCTTTATCATGGCTTTGAAGTTTTGTATGTATCTTGCTGGCAACTTTCCAGAAAAGTTGTTATTGGAGAGGTCGAGAATTTGCAGCTCCGGAAATGGATGGTCAGGCTATGTTGAAGTAAACAGAGGGCCATGGAAGTTATTGTAACGTAGATTGAGAACTTTCAGCTGCGGGAGGCTGTCTAGCCATGATGGAAACGTACCCTCTAACTTGTTATTCCCAAGATACAGAACATTTAGGCTTTTACACCGTGACAGAGACTTTGGCACCACCCCTTCCAATTGATTGTCACTTAAATCTAGATACTGTAATGAATTACAGTTAGAGAAATTTGCAGGTATGGTGCCATTTAGTCTATTCGCTTGAAGATTTAATGCACCGAGCTGAGTGTAACTATTTACCAAACAATGAGGGATTTCTCCGCTAAGAGTGTTGTTCGATAAATCAAGGACGATGATTTCAGTCAAATTACAAAAGGATGGATTAATGGTGCCATTTAGTCTGTTATTTGACAAAATTAATGCCTCAAAAAATAGATTTGTTTGCAAAAATGAGAAGTGGCTCTTGTAACTTGTTGGATGAAAGGTTGACATAGACCAATTTCTCCCAAGGGAGATACTCTAGACCATGTGTTAGAGAATTATTAGAAAGGTCTAAGTTTAAAGATGCATAAGGTATAGCCTGGCTAATGTTAACCATCCATTTGGGAATCTCACCTCGAATGTTGTTATCGTCAAGATACAAGAATTCGAGTCTTTCTTGGTTTCCCAAGTAAGGAAATTCACTAATATTGCAAGAAGAGAGTCCCAAATATGATAATTTGGACAGCATCGAGGAGGAGTTGAGTTTTGTAGACACTGATAAACTATTTAAAGATAAAATAAGAGTATCTAGATCTGTAAACATAGAAAACATACTAAGCTCAACATCACCGGTAAAGCTGTTGTCCGACAAATCAAGTATCTGCAAGGAATTGCTAGCATTACCAGAAACATCACTCAATGAACCACTAAGCTGGTTGGATTGGAGGTACAACCTAATTAATGAAGGGAGTTAGAATGGCCAAGATGGTATGGTTCCGACAAGCTTGTTGTTATCTAGGGTGAGTTCTGAAATATTAGAGAGCGTATGAATGTTTAGCGATGAAGGCAGAGCACCAGTAAGAAAATTATTTGAAAGATAGATTTGGTTAGTAACATTCCAAACCCATGGTGGTATAGGACCATCAACACCACTGTCCATTAGATCTAAGTAGCTTGGGCTAGTTTGGTTTATGGAGTATGGTAGTTGCCCGGAGAATTTTGTAGAGGAAAGTCCTAGGAATAGCAAAGGGCTGCTCCAACTACCTAACTTTGTGACGAGGTCACTATTTCCCATTAAAAAAAGTGTTTGCAAGTATTGGAAAATTGAGAATGTCAGAAGAAAATTTCCCCTGCAAACCACAGTATGATAGGTCTAATTACGTTAAGGAAGATAAGTTTACCAGAGATGCAGGAAAATTTGAATTGATTGAGACAAAACGAAGATCAAGATATGACAAGGATGTTAAGTTTTCAATGATACTATTGACATCTGGCATTTCAAGATACTGATAATATGTAGAAAGGTCAAGTAATTTGAGTTTTGGGAGTTTAGGTACCCTGCCTTGAAAATATGATTCAGAGAGATTAAGCAAGGATAAGTGTGTGAAATCTCCAAATTTAGGAGGAATGGAGGAAGCAGAAAAATTATTGTTGTCTAATGAAAGGCTTTCGAGATGATGAAGTTGGAAGAGGGTGCTATTTGAGTCGAGGCTTCCACTAAGTTGGGAGCAGCTAAGGTCAAGACCAATAACATGACTAGTTAATGGATCGCAAGTGATCCCGTCCCATTGACAACAGTCGATGCTATTATTCCATGACATTGTTTTTGCTCTACTGGATGTGCAACCAGAGGCGAATGGATCAATTGACAAGGAATTTGAGAAGCGAAGCAAGGCAGAACTCTCATCGCTACGACAAGTGGGATAACAAGAAGTGACTACCAGATTGAGGATCAGGCAGAGTAGAGTGACAACAATTCCTAAGAGGTATTGCATGGCTACTAAAAAAATTTGTTATTTGTAGAAACTTGGTGGTTTTTAGACTAAAGTAAGTGTGGGTTATAATTATGGAATTAGAGGAATATGTACTCTTTAAAGAGAGGAACAAGGTATTGCACTAATGAGACTTGTAGACTTGTATGACTAGTTAACTAGACTTTTGTTGAAAGAGACTAGACAATTTTAACTATCGGGCTTAAGCACGGTAGACTAATAAAAAGGTAACTCAAATGACAATAAAACTCAAATACACTGTTTTTATTTTTGAGACACAAGCAATAATACAAATTACATTTTACTAATAGAGGTGCGAGATTTGAATATGTGACGTATCGTATACAGTTGTCCAATTTTAATTATTAGATTAATACCTCATTGGTAAATACTTCTAATATTACATCATTTTGTATTAATTTGGGATGAGATATGTAGATGACCAATTAGTTTAGTGGGTTAAAGTCAGGGTGATACTCAAAACATGATATCAAATCCCATTTACATCCTTTGCTTATGTGGCTTTCAAATTAAAATAAGAAAAAAAAAACGTAAATTTAATAATCTTAATCAAATGAATTTTCTTGTAAGAATATGTAAGGCAATTATAATTTTGTTATTAATTATGTGATTATATGGGCCAATAACTTGATAAATGTCTATAATCAAATGACCCGACAATCCGATCATTATGATGTTACTCAATATTCATCACTTCTTCTGTACTACTTTGTATAATAATGGACATCACTCATATTTTAATTGATTATTCAAACTTTTAAAGTCATCCACTTCTTTTGTAGACTCTCAAGTCATCGTTAAAGCTATTTGTGTAATACGTTAGTTGACGAAGACTTATGTGGAAACTTTGACTTGTTTACTTATTTGTTTATTTTTTATTGTTACGTTTTCATTGGTTTAAAATTAATTCTATCCTATGTGACACTTTAAAAATTTTAATGTAATTATTCCAATTTATCAAAATCTACTTCAAAATATTTTTTTTTTCAAATACCAAAATATTTATTTAGGTGTTATATGAGATGGGGGACGGAGAATACAAGAAAGAGAAACCTAGAAGCCCACAAATCAGAGCCCACATCGAGATTATCCTAAAACTATTTGGCAATAGGAGGAGTAGCCTGCCTGGGTTATAAATTCAAAGTCCTTTACTTTCTTTTTCAATGTGGGATAAACACTTCTCACTCTTGCACCTAACAAGGGGCCCCATGCGATCGATCATCTTGCACATGATAAGAACCATCACTGTACCTACTCTCAAAACATTTACAATAGATATAGAACGGAGGGAGTACTCTATATTTGACCACTTCTACTAATTAGATCCGATTAAGGATAGTTTAGTCCAATGTAGTGTTGTTTGGGTCAAGCTTTTAAAAGGTTTTTATTGGACATATCATAGTTTCGTATTCACATGCACTTTTAAAATAAGTGAAAATAAAGCGAATGTGGTAGTAACTCTGGTCGTCCAGAGTCCATACATAACCAGTATGAATGGCGCGCTACTTCCTCCACACTCGGGCAACGGATCCCCACACAATGCAAGATTCCCCTTGTATGAATCGGATGAGAATGTATCGAAGTTGTTCCCCTGAGGTATAGGCCCTTCCAACTGGTTTTCTGAAACATTGAAGACTTCAAGGAAGGTTAAACTAGCTAGTTCATGAGGAATGCCACCAGTTAGCATGTTGGAAGAGAGGTCCAAACTGTCAAGTGATGACAACGATCCAATGGATGGAGGAATGTGCCCTGTAAGGCGGTTGTGTGAAAGATTAAGGCCTTGAATTGCGACCAATTGTCCTACATACTCGGGGATTTCTCCTTCAAATGCATTGTTTGACAGATCAAAAAAAGAGAGCGTTTCAATGATCTTCTCATATGGTAATTGCACACCTTTGAATGTCAAAATAATAGAATAGTAAGGCCACAACATCGATACATTTGATTCCATGTATTGTGGGAAACCATGGTGATCGATGATTCTTGTCATTGCTTGAAATTTATTTATGTATGTTGTGGGTATCTTACCGCTGAAGTTGTTACTAGAGAGGTCAAGAATCTGTAACGCGGGATATGGATGAAATCCAGAGACATTGTTGATGTGACCGTGGAAGCTGTTAGAGCTCAAGTCGAGGAGTCGAATAAATGGAAGAGTATGCAACCAATAAGGAAATTCATCCTTAAGCTCGTTACTTCTAAGATTGATAGCTTGTAAATTTGTGCATCGTGCCAAAGATCGAGGTAACTGCCCTTGCAACCTATTACTGCTTATGTCTAGGTATCGCAAGTTATCACACTTGGAAAAATTTGTAGGAAGAGTTCCATGAATGTTATTCGATCCTAAATTCAACAAATTAAGGCCACTGTTTAAGCTTCCTAGACAATGTGGGAAATCTCCACTCAAACTATTGTTAGACAAGTCAAGAACCCAAAGTGATGTTAAGTTGCAAATGGATGAATCAATTGGACCTGTAAAGTTGTTGTTCGCGGCTAAAAAGAATTGGGTGTAAGGCGATGAGATTATTGGGAGACGTCCTGTTAGCCTATTATTAGAGATTTCAATATAATTCAAAGTACCCCAAGGGATGTTTTCAACAACTCCGGTTAAAGAGTTGGATGAAAGATCCAATAAGTTTATCGACGATTCTCTGATTAGCTGTTGTAATCACTTGGGGAATTCACCATGAATACTAGTGTTGGATAGCCCTAAATATTGCAATGACTTAGCTAAAGTGGAGATAACTGATGAGTTTACTGGACCATCAGTTGTGGTCACGGAAAGGCCGCTATTAGACAGGAAAAGAGACCGGAGCTTTGGAAGGTTGGAAAAAACTTGATATAGGCTAACACTACCCATAAAGTTATTGAATGAGAGGTTAATCGTGTCCAATGACTTTAAGCTAAACAACCAAGCCGGAACTTCTCCAACAAGCATATTTTTTCCTAAATATAGAGTAGTTAAACTTGAGAGCTTGCTTATGTTCATTGTGGACGGAAGACTGCCGGTTAGTTCATTATGACTAAGGTCTATCCTTTCAGAAATATTCCACACCCAACTTGGAAAAGTCCCGCGTAGATTGGTACTCTGCAAATATAATGATTTCAAATGTTTTAATCGACTATAAAAAGAGGGTATGTTAGAAGAAATATTGGAATAGCTAAGGATTAAGGATTCCAAGGGGCTACTCCAATTATACATTGATGGGAAATGAAAGTTTATCGCATCGTTGTACCCGAGATTGAGTTCCTTTAGGTGTGGTAGGTTAAGAATGATAGTAGTGAACTCCCCTTGTAAATTGCATCCTTCAAGATAAAGATATGAAAGTGAAGACAAGTTAGTAATGGTTTGAAAAATTTGTGGTGTCTCTAGTTTTATTCCACTTAGACCTAGTCGTTTCAGCTTTGTAAGGTTGCTAATGACCAACTTGACATTTGAAAATTCAAGATCGTTTCCTGATAAATCAAGAGATGTCAATCTAGTGAGTTGAGATATTTCAAGAGGGACCCTACCAGAAAAATAAGAATAAGAAAGGTCTAAATGTTTAAGAAAATGAAACTGACCAAATTTGTGCGAAATATTGGATGAAGAAAAATCATTCCATGACAAATTAAGCCTCTGAAGTTGGCCTAGTTGGAAGAGATTGCTATTTGAATCGATGGTTCCGACGATACCATTGTTGTAAAGGTCAAGTGCAATGACATGACGAGTGAGAGGATGGCAAGTAATTCCATCCCATTCGCAACAATCAGAATTTCGTTTCCATGATCTTGTATTATTTGTAGTTATAGGGTAGTAGGTATTAGCTCGTGTAAAAAAGCTGAAGGATTCTTTTAAGTGAAGCAATGCATAATACTCATCTTCATGACATAGGTTCGAAGAAGATGTATTACGGAGAGAAGGTTGTGAGCAAGTGACAAATACAAGATTGTAAGCAAGGCATAGACAAAGTAACGAAAAACATAAAATGATGGAAGGGCTAAACATGGCTTTAATTTGGTCAAGTTTACAAGTGTTTGAGTAATAACTAAAGTTGAGCACTTGTAGTTTGTTGTACTTGTAACTTGTACACACCAAATTTATAGAGAAATTGAAGATATTAGAACAGAGATGCTTCACTCAATATTTTTTGTTTTTATATGAAGTTTTTGGCTTGTTTAGCCGACTTTATCTCATCCGTTGGGCCGAGCCATTTGTTGATGATTGAAAATTACGTCTAGGAAAAAATTTCACACTTTTCCTTCATAGTTCCTAATTGGCCAGCAAAATATCTAGGTACTCGTCAAAATTTTCGCGACTTACACTAAATAATACAACCCCTTTCTTTTCTTTTTTCTTTTTTTTTTTTTTCTTTCTTTCTTTTTTTTTTCAATATTCGTTACATTTTCAACTTTTCACACTTGATATTGTAAAATCTTGACTATAGTATCTCTAATTATGTGTTAGTATTTTTGCCTCAAAAAATTTACTCCGTATGTGTTAGTATTTTGTTAAATTAATAGAAATATATGTGATAGTAAAAATTATAAAAAATGCATTAATATTCCGAAGATACATATTAAGACAAAGTTGCTATGTATAAAAAAAATGTCTTTCCTTAATCTAAATTACAAAAACAATAGTTAAAGTAGAATATATATAAACGGAATTGCACAAATAAAATAGTAAGAACAATGTTACCGAGAATAAGACTGAGTCGCGGACTATGTCGCTCTCTTTAGAACATTCGCGGCACTGCCTCAAACTTGTGCAAGCAGCTCGTATCAAACCGGATGCCCCCAGGATAAAACAGTCTTTCACAAGTATAAAATAACGGCGGTTTTGCACCGAACCACCGGACAACGGAACACCAGAAAACCAGAAAGAAACTGCTCGACTGTTTTGAGAGGAAGAGAAAATATATTTTGCAAAGTGGTTTTCTGTATATTTTTTCCGTGTATTTAAAAACAAAGCTGGAACCGTCCTTTTATAGGTAAAGATACGTAACAACTTAAGCATGAAAACGGGAGAAAGATTAGCAACGTTTACTGCAATTAGTGTATTCGTTAAGCAAGAATCAAGGCATTAAATCAGTGTAACGGTGCAACGTTTAGCAGTAAAACAACAACGAGAATCAAGCAATGTAACGGAAAAATTTAAACCAAAACAGTAAAACGTTTTGTAACTGAATATTAATCAAACCGGTAACAAAAATTAAGTTTGTTTAATAACCCAAACCCAAACCCGACCCAGCCCGGCTCGGTTCAGAGCGCGTGTGTGTGATATATGGTTTACCATATAGGTCCTCCCTCTCCACAAAATGTGGGTAGCCCAAGGGCCACACCCCTTTAGCCCACTCTCTATATTATAAAGAGAGTAAAACTCTCATTTCCCACCAATGTGGGACTTTGAGTTTTTTCACAAAATTCACACACTACACACTTGTTGTTCCAACAAAATTTACTCCGTATGTGTTAGTATTTTGTTAAATTAATAGAAATATATGTGATAGTAAAAATTATAAAAAATGCATTAATATTCCGAAGATACATATTAAGACAAAGTTGCTATGTATAAAAAAAATGTCTTTCCTTAATCTAAATTACAAAAACAATAGTTAAAGTAGAATATATATACTTACCTCCGTTTATTTTTAGTTGACATACACGTATTCCTTTTTAGAAAGTTTATTTTTAGTTGACATGTTTACTTTTTGGGTAATAAGTTTTACACCTTGCAGTTACTAGTGTACCTCACTTGCTTTATCATTCTATCTCATTTTCTCTCATCTTCTTAATATATATGTCTAAATTGAATGTATCAAGTACATAAAAACGGAGGAATATGTATATAGTACTTCATGTTAAAAGTCAAAGTGTAAAAATTCCAAGAAACAACTCAAACAAGTGTAGTAGTCTAGTACTTGTTCACCATAATTTTTGCAGAAATTTGATATTGCGTTCCTTCATACAACTATACAAGTATAACATAGAAACTCAAACCACCTATTGTCCTTTATACTCTTATTTAGAATATTTTGATTATTAAAAATTTAATGGAATCTTTTAAATTTCTCTCTCTCTATATAAAACAAACATAATCATATAAGATCTGGATTTATTCATCTCGATGAATACATTATTTATAGCTAACTTTATAATTTTTGCTAGCGTGAAATTAAAGATATATGCGATAAAAAATTTGCATCGATATACGTAAATGAAACTAATATTATAAAATGAAGGAACAATAAATTGATCTAAACATTGACTGATTTCATCCGCATAAGTTCAACCTGCATTCAAAATTAATATGAAATACTAATTTAGGAAATATACTCCCCCCGTCACTTAATTAGATTCCTACTTCTAGCATTTATTTATCACATAATAGAGAGAACGAAGTAGGAATCTAATTAAGGGACGAAGGAAGTATTACGTAGTAAATCACTATTTAACGTGAGTGACAACTCTCAAGACATTCGTAAGTAGCAAGATCCTTACATTAGTAATAATAATTTAATTTTTACAACATTCTAGTTTATTCAGTGTATTATGACATTTCAGACTACTGTATGATCAGTATCTGAAAGTTTGCATCAAAGAATTTTTAACAAGCCTTTATCATTTCAATTATCAGTTCAGGCTTGAATTAAATTTTGTGTAAGACTTGTCTTCCAAGGGCTGCTCGTCCTGTTCATGATTTCTTACATCATAAATAAATCCTTATGGCTAGCTAAATTAGCTCATAGGATGGAGCTGGCAACTATTCAATTTTCTGGGAAGCTATTTGGAAGACGAGCAAGAAGAGCAAGGAATTGAAGAGGACGATGAACTGATATATAAAGAGGTGTGACTATTCATAATCATGAGTTTCCAAGCAATTAAATTTACTTTCTAATGCAAGCAGAAGTATCATCATAATTTCAAACTATTTGTTCATTTAAGATTTTTAAAAGTAATTGAAATTTTGATCATTTGCCATTACTGCAGGCTACAATACCTTGCCAAACCGGATAATGAGAGAAGCTATCCCAGGATGCATATGCTCTTTTTTTTATCACTGCAAAAGATCATGTAATAGATTAGCTCAAATGATTATATTTTTATATTGTATACGAAGTACTCTGTATAAAGTAAGGAAAAATAAAAGTCAGAGGGACCTTCTAGCCAGGGATTAACCAAACTTAAAGCTGAGCATGACTTTGTGTAACATTTAGAGCTTGTATAGATGTATGACATAGGGTATACTATTGCTTACGAAGGAAGAAATACCATAAAAACGAGATATCGAAGGAAGAAATACCATGAAGGAAATCTAATCCATACAAGAATCAATTACTAATTTATCTAAAGCTTTTCCTGATTAGAGATGGCAATAGCCATAGAGGGTATACTATTACTTACCGAGTTAGCAAAGATACTTTTAGAAGATATTAAAACGATACACTAGTCTGTAGTATATGCATTTCGGCTGTCAAAATTTGTTCAGAATAACTATATGCATGAAAAAATATAGTAATCATGCAAATGCAGAAGGGGATTCTTCTTTTTCAGAAAAAAGGTCTTACTACCAAGAGCATTATTCACATGAATATTGTTTTTAACATTTTAGCTCCAAATCAATATTAAGAGAAGAAAAAACAGAGCACATTGAAGTTTATGAAAACCATATTAATGGTAATCTGGGCTTCAAGCCTTCAACCCAGTGAGCTCATGTGCAATTTACCTTTGGAAAGCCTAACTATGGTTAATCTTTGTAGTGCTGCACAGGTAGCATTAAGTGTGGCAGTAGTCACTTCTTCCTCTAAACCCTTACCATCACAAATGCTTTAACTTTGCTTCTGAAGACTATCTTTCTCACATAATTCTTCTACGTTCAGTCAACTCTTAAATATCTTGATCTAATACGAAACAATCTTGTTACAACTCTTACAAGCAACTTTGAAACTAGTTTAATAAGAACAAACTTTCTACCTAACATAAATTCCCTAATTATTGGCTTGCCTTTAGGTCAAGGCAAGGCAAAACAACTCAAGCCAAGGCAACAAAACCAAGTAATGCATCTTCAAACATGAAAACAAAGGGTGGGTCATGGCATCAATGATATGGTTTTGGGCACCAAATAGGTCTTCCGAGACAATTAGATAACCACGTGAAGCGCCTCGATGCATAATCTTATTGGGTCCAAAAATATTTTCTAGAGGCCAAAATTCCAGGTATATAATACACGAAATTAGACCATTTATAAAGATTTCGACACTTGCTACAGCTGCTCCAACAACCAACTTGGCATCCCGCGGCCTAATAAGAGCTAGGTATCGGGAATCCTTCATTAGATTGTCAATGATATCCAAATTCATTACTTACCATTCCTTCATTAGGTTATCAATCTTGTTCAAAGCAAATTTATAAAAAATAAAAATAAAAACATATCTAAGAGACAAACCAGTTACAAGTCTTTTGAATTCTAGTGTGCTCTGCGTAAGAAACAATCTCTTGAACAGATTGATGATCTTAAGAGTAGCAAGTCTACCTACATGGTTATTGATTTCCCCCTTGATAAATCAGTCTTTAGTTTTAAACCAGTTTCTATGGTTTTCTGACAGTAAAAAAAATGACATAACTAGATTAACAACCATATAAGCAGTAAACTTTAGTATCATAGATAACGAGATCATTAGACTCTGATCAATATCAACCTAAAGCACAATGTCACTCAATCTAACATCAACTTGAGTGAGAACCAATTGCAAGGAATGGTACCACAACAGCACAACCTATGGTGCAATCACAAGTTCTCAATCTCAATGATATTGTACATTTTAACATCAATTAGATATGCTCTTCCAAACCTAAAAATGTTAGTTCAGACTCAAACTACTTCTTTACCCATGGAAAAGGTCCAAATTTGAGTTCCTGAATTCTCGAACATTAATACCAGCAGCAAATTTCCAACAACAAGTACATGAAAACCCAATGTCCCAAAGCAATGTCCAATGTCTTACACCCTGTTAATCTACAAGGTCTAACCATTAAGTAACCAAACAAAATCATGACTTGTTTCAGAGCTTGTCACTTATTCATATAATACATGACAGAAGTGTTCTGTATTCAAGAACAAAACTGATCTATCGCGGTGGCATGAAACCTTCAAGACACCAAACTCGACCAAACCAATCTATTCAAGCTCTCATTCATCCCCTTAATATAGTCACATTAAAACCCTTACAAAATCGTCGAAACCTATCTATTTAAGCTCTAACCATTTTACAAAAACTAGCCACATTACAATCCTTACAAAATCAACGAAATCTATCAATTCAAGTTCCCACCAATTCACATAAACTAGCTACACTAAAATCCTTACAAAATCGTCGAAATTAATAGCTGGCTGATGAGAACTATACCTCCAAGCAATTATCTCAACACAATAATTAATTAAGAAAATCTCTATAACCTAAATATCCCATATCATTTCGGCAATCTTCAAGCATATAAATTCGTATGTTATTACAAACTTATACCTTTTGCAAATTGCAAACAATGTCAATGGATTAATATATTGATTAAACCAATTGCAATTAAATAAAAGAAAAACCATAATGTTAAAAAGTACGGACTATTTTTTTTTTTTTGAAAGACAAAAGTACGGACTATATAATATACTAGTACATAGTACTTCTTAAGTAAATTGAACAAAAATATGAGAAAGATACGAAATTGAATTTATTATGAGAGATATATTCATAATTACAGTATAATTCAATAACAAAAAGCAATTAAAAAGTAAAGGTAAGAGATAGTATACCTTTTTCATTTTCATGAAGGGGAGAAAACAGGCAAATTTTGAACACAGCTCTGCAGTCTGCTGCTGTTGATGGAGAAGAGTTAATAGAAGAAGGACAATTTAACTTGTTCATTGTTTTTTTTTTTCATTTTTTTTCTTTGTTTTAACAAATCGTCTTTTGGTTTTTTTAGAACAAAAGTAAGCCGAAAATTAAATTAAATTAAATCAAGTTCTGGAGAAAGGAGTTCATACAAAGACGTTTCAAGTTACCGTTAGTACCCATCTCGCAATTAAGTGGGCAACGGTATTACTGGCGCTTTTCACATGAGAAAAAACAAACGGAGGAAAGAAATTAGAAAACTTTTTAATGTCATCATACACAATGTAAGCTGGAGAGAAGCCCCTAGATACTTGGTTGATTGTCTTCACCACTGTCAACGAGTCACTTTGTCTTTTGTTTAGTTCACCTTAATTTTGCTTATATCATCTAAAATTATCGAAGGGGGTAGAAGAGTTGATTTTGATATGAATTTATTAATTCGTAATTTGCACTAATTATCTAAGGAATTGTGTAAACTACAGCAGGATATATTGCACGTGGAAGAAAACAACACAAAGTATATGGTTGGTAGCTATTGGAGTCCCTTGAAAATAATTTCAGAAAAATATTACTGGGATGGGTATTATTGTTTTTTTTTTTTTTTAATGTATAGAATTTGAGTATTGTAGATTTAGAGGATTGCGGTGAAGTAATGCAAATTGACTCTACAATTAATTACTTTGATTAATTTATGTAGCTTATATTAATAAAACATACTAATAGTCATGTGAGATTTTTTATTATGAATGTATGTTTTCATAGTATTACAGAGTAATTTTTTATACGATTAGTTTTTTTTAAGTATTTTTTTATATAGGTATGTTTATACTAAAAGAACTGTCTAAATGTAACTCCTACTAAAACTCCCTTAAAGAAGGGTTTTTCTCCTTCCGGCAAATGGCCGACGGTATAGTCTTAGAGTGCTCGTCACTTCGACCGGAAAAGAACGAGGGTGGTCTAGTAGTCCCGGCAACATGGAGGAATTTGTATCATAGAGCCCAAAATTGAACTACTCTTGGTTGGTAAATTATTAATCAATGGGTTTTACAATATTGTGGCCTTAAAACGCATAATGGAGATAGTGTGAGCACCTTCACACAATATGAATATCAAAACAATTAATTTGTACTTTCAACTCTTTTTAATAACAGCTGAAAATACAAAAGCAACTAAATAGAAATAAAGACAGTGTTTCAGTAGAAAACAATAGGACCTTCGGCTGGTCCTTTTTTGGTGGAGAAGACTGATCTCGGTCCAAGTGATGACTGGGCCGAGGATTTCCTGCACAGAAAACACACGTAAACTAGCCTCGGGGGATGTGCCGAGGAAGACCCCTCCGATGCTAAAGTCAGTACAATGTTTTAAGAGAGAAAGTTATGCAAGAGAATTAATGCTTGAGGCTTGATGTGGATATCTCCTAAATGAGTCAATTGAAGGCTTTTATACCTTTGCTTAATGGATGAATGGGCCTTGGGATCAAGTGGGCTTGCCACGTTGACTGGACCATTGACTGACTTGGCATTTGGACTAGAGAGTTGAACCCTGCTTTTGGCCTTTTGATTAAAATATTTGGACCCAAACAGAGAGAAAACAAAGAAGAACGGAAAATACTAGTTGTACAATGTGCCAAGTTCAATCTTATCCTTAACCACCCTCAAAATGTTGCATCTTTTAAACAAAAGACCTAGCCGTCAGTATTTTTCGAATAGTCCAATGCACATCTATTGAAGCACATCCTTCTTGTCATAAAAAAAGAGCAAGAGTTGCAGAGCCTGTATAAGTCGTTAGAGATCACAATGCAGTCACCATTTAAGAGTTGAGACATGGGCCATGGCTTACGCAGAGAAAGCAGAATCACCTAGGCCAAAACTACCACCCACTTCCACCTTGTTTGTTGTTGGAAACTTGATTGTCTAACCAGTCATATATCTTCGTGTATGCTTGTGCGATAAGGTGGGGATTTTAAAGGGAAGTTGGTGGTGTTGGGGAAACCATTTTTGGTGTCGAAGGAGGTCGTATAAGATGAGCAATTGAAGCAAATAACAAAGGGATAAAACATTCGCCCTTTTGGGTTAGGGTTTGTGAGCTCTTGTTTAGCTGCAAGTCGATAAAATTATATTTTTTGGGTGTTTGGGTAGTCCATATTTTGCACACCAACTTTTTCACTTATATAATACTGTTTGTTTTTTTAACCGAAACTTTTCACTTGCGCACGTATAGGGGTGAAAGTAATATGGATTAAATCCGCATACTGTGCCAAACCGAACCAAATTAGCAATTTGGATTGGTTTTTTTATTAATTAAAAAATTTGGATTGCGGATCGGTTTCGGTTTTAAGCTTCAAAAAACCGAAAACCAAAATTTGAAATCGAAAATTTTAAAACGCCCAATTTTCCAGCCCATTTTCCCTCTAATTAGAAACCCTATTCATTTTTCCTTCCTCATTCTTTCACTCTCAACCTCTCACTACAGCAACCCTAGATCTAATCTCGATCGTTTCAATTCCCAATTTCTCCAACCATTTTCTTTGGGCAATCTCTAGCCACTTTCTCATTCACCGACCACCGGCTCCACCATTCCACCTTGATTCTCATTCTCGGTCTCCTACGATCCACCGCTCCCCTACTCCTTTTCTCATCCATTTTCTCTTGAAGGATGACTTCAATTTTATTTTTTTTTTCATTTAAAATTTAGAGAATTGGAATGGTGGTGTTAGCTTAGAGCCTCAGACTCTTGCTAAGTGAAAGATTTATGGAAATGATTTATGAAATTTCAAAAAGGAAACGATTGTATGGAAAAATGTTTGGAAATTGACTTCAATCATCATGCTCTCATCAATTAATCTGCCAAATTCAATTTTTGCTTAATTATGGGTTAATGTGATTCATAATTTGGTAATTGTTCTTTATTTTGCTTGAATTAATGTGGTTATATTTTGATCTTGCTTGAATTTTGATTAATTATTAGGGCTTCACTTTCCCCAAAATGACATACCTAACAAAATTCGGTTCGATTTATTTGGATTTAATATTCAAAACCAAATTAATTCGGTTTGGATTGGATGGGATTGAATCCAAATTTGGTTTGGATTCTGTTTCAAAAATCTAAAACCGAATTAATTCCGTTTGGATTCGATTTGGTGTAAAATCCAAATTTAACCGCAAATCGAACTTTCACCCCTACACACGTATTAAAAATTGCAAAGCTTTGACTAATACTAATAAACTATTCATGGAGATGATTATAAGCTACACGAGTACCCACGAGAGTACGAGACTATATATTTTTTTAATTACGTACAAATCATAAACATAATAAAGTAGATTCAAGTAAATCGTTGTTAAAAAAAAAGTAGATTAGGCAAATTAGCAAAGAGTCAAACCATTTTACTTAAAAAAAATGGAGAGAGTAGAGATAAGTCAATGGATTTTATGTTCAAAATTTATAGAATTTGACGCCTCTTAAAAAAATAAATTAATTTGCTACTATCTTGTGAAATAATACTCTTAAAAATAAATGTTACTATTTAAAATATTATTTTTTGTTAAGTACAACCTTTAAAATTGTTTAATTTATACGATTATTACCTCAACCCATTTTTTGACGAATTAGCCTAATGATAGCATCAATTACCAGACTAAATATAATTTATGCCATTTTAATCCCATTTTTTTGTGACATATTAATCAATTAGTCATACAGAACATGTAATTTGTGACATCACATATCAATTGAAAATGAAATTTATGTCATTTAAATTTGAGTTTAATCACTTATTAAAGTTTTTCTTATACTAGTCGTCTAATCTTAATGTATATTAGATATAATTAAGATCATAAATGATGTCATTATTGGTCTAATTCATTGGAAAATGGCGGGAGGTATTAATCTTACAAATTAGTTACTTTTATAGGTAATAATTAACAACTTTTATTTTTCGAGGTGATAATTAACAAGACACACTTTTTTAATGGTAGTAATTGACAAGTTTTCCAAAATATTATTATGATATAATCTCTTAGGAACGAAAGAAGTACAATTTGACCGACACACACTTTGAAGTGGCGTTTAATTGACTTTTTTTTTATAATAAGATATAAATGAAGTGGCCATGGTTTAAAAAATAAAAGAAAAAATATTGGAAAAAAAAATCTTCTCAATTGTGCAAGTGAAAAAGGAAAGCCTAATTGGTGTCCACTTACTTAAGAATACAACAACACCCTTTTTATTTTTATATCTTAATGTTACTTATTGGAAATAAATTAATGGCATTGGATGGAAAGATAAATAATGGTTATATAGTTGTAATAAAACTGATAATTGGCAAATCAATCAAAATTAGAAAGTTAAAATTTGGAATTGATTGTTCAAATAATTTTCACTAACTATATAAAGAATTATAAATCATACATGGAATTATGACAGTAATAAAAATGCGATTTGGGAATTACAATAAAAAAAATTAGATGACTGATTACAAGTAATAACAAGTGAAATGGAAACTTATCATTGATAAATCATCATAAATTGGAAATATACAATTTGGCATTAATTGTTCAAATAATTGGCATCAATAGAGAATTTATTGATGAAGGAATATGACAATAATGAGAATGCAATTAGGGAATTACAATAATCAAATAACTATATAATTATATTAATTACAATTGAAAAAGAAAATAATCATGGCAAATCTATCACAGTTGGAAAGATAAAATTTGGCATTAAATTTTCAAATAATTGGAATTATAAATCATGGAATTATGACAGAAATGAAAATACATTAGGAATTACAATAAAATAATTAAATGATTGAATATAATAACAAGTGAAATGGAAACTTACTTGATAAAATAATCACAGTTGGAAATATACAATTTGGCATTAATTATTCAAATAATTGGCGTCATTAAGAATTTATAAATTAAGGAATATGACAATAATATAATGAGAATGCAATTAGGGGCCTACATTCAAAGAACTATATAATTATTAATTACAATTGAAAAAGAAAATAATCATAGGCAAATCTATCATGGTTGGAAAGAGAAAATTTGGCATTAAATTTTCAAATATTTGTCATCAAGTAAGGAACTATAATTTATGGAATATGAAATAATGAAAATGTAATCATTATTTACAATTAAAGAATTAAACGATTGATTGCATTACAATTGAAATAGAAAAAATTATTAACAAATCAATCATAAATGGAAAGATAAAATTTGACACTAATTCTTCAAAATAATTGTCATCAATTAAGGAATTATAAATTATGGAATAATGGAAATAAGGAAATTAAAATACAATCAAGGAATTACAATTAAGGAATTAATTCAACTGTGTATATTAACTAAAATTATAATATCACAATTTTACCCTTATTTATCCTTGCAAGTGCACAAGTATCAATCAAGACATATATATTGTGTATGTTGATGTTAGAATTAGGCATATGTAATTGAATTGAGAAATATCTTCCAATTAGGCCCTGATCACTTCACCTTAAAAAAAATAAATTAATATTCAGTTATTATAATTTTAATTTAGTAAAAATAAATTAATTTTAGTAAAATTATTTTCAGTTCAGTAAAAATAATTTCAGTACAGTTAAAATGAATAACTTTAAATAAGAAATATGATTGAGAATAAGTAAAAATAATTTCAGTTCAGCAAAAATAATTTCAGTTTAGTAAAAATAATTTAAGTTCAGCAAAAATAATTTCAGTTCCGTAAAAATAATTTCAGTTTAGCAAAAATAAGGGGAAGTGAACGGGGCCTTAATGAAATAAACTATTAATTTTTTTAGTTGCCAATTGATATTATTGTATTTTTTTTATGTTGGTAATCTTCGAAAAATTGAATTGACTACTACGAAATAATTATATTATTATTATATGTTTTTTCAATATTTTTGTTTCTCCGTGTATTCAAATGATGTATTTGACGTTATGGAAAAAATACAATAAATCATGCACACATCGCGTGCATAGATTATTAATTTGTTAAAAAGTAAATTATGTGAAATTAGAGAATTTTTTTAATTTTTTCTCAGAAAAAAAAGAAGTATTTTCTTAAAACAAGATTCGGGACCATGAAAAGAGAGAAAAAAATGTAGCAGTGTGCCATATATAAGAGCGTAACACTAACAATACGGGTTTGATTTAAGTAAATGTAACATACTAACAGTTAAAAAAATTAGTCGAAGTACATTAGTCAAGTATTCTTTAAATTAATTTACATAATAAAAGTAATGTTTTAGCCTCAATTAATAGCGTATAAGATATAAGATGACATAACATATCTTTGATTGATTAAGAAAGCATTCATATTATGAATCAACCTAGTCCTCGTTCTTTTGAACTAAACATAGTCTAGATGAACAAACTATACTCGATAGAAACTGAAATATTATTATTATTATTGTTGTTGTTGTTGTTGTTGTTATTATTATTATTATTATTCCAATTGTAAAATAAATAATAACAACATTATTATACTGTGTATTAAAGTTGATATTTAGTATAATTCATTATAATAATAATAATAATAATAATAATAATAATTATTATTATTAATATTATTTTATTACAAAACCCTCAAAAAGATACTTAAAAGAACAACAATAACAACGCCTAAGACAACAAATACACAAATGTTTTAAAAAATCCGGTTTACATTAAATTGTGAACGGCGGATGGCGGCAATAAATAGAAAAGAACTTTGTTACCAATTTCATTCATACGTCACACATTTCATTTCTTCTCTCTTCTTCTTTTTTCTCTCTCTTCCTCATAATTTACTTTCTTTCTCTTCCTTAATTTTCTCACTCTTCCATTTTGACTTGATTTTCTTCAATATTTTGTGATTTGATCTGTTTTGCTTCAATTTTTAGTGCTTTGATATGATTTTCTACCTTCTTTTTCACTTGCGAACTTGTTTCTCGCTAATTTCAGGTTTGTTACTTAATTTTTTGTGCATTTTTATTAGTTTTTAGTGGATTTGATTCGATTTTTAGGTTTTTTTAATTTTGTTCTTCTACTCTTTTGTAGTGCTTATTTACTACTAATTTCTGCAATGGTGAAGAAGAAGAGTAAAAATTAGGAGTTATAGTTAGATGATGTTGATCTCAGTGTAGGTTGGGTCACTTTTGTGAGAATTTAGGTTATTTTTGAAAAAAAACAAAAAACTAATGAGATTTATGGAAATTTTATGTGAAGATATTTGTCACTTTTGTGAAAAAAAAAGTTACTTTTGTGAAAATATGAGTCACTTTTGTGAAAAAAGGGGTTACGTTTGTGAAAAAAAGGGGTCACTTTTGTGAAAAAAAAGGTCACTTTTGTAAAAAAAAAAAGTCACTTTTCTAAAAATATGAGTTACTTTTGTTAAAAAAGGGTCACTTTTATAACAAAAAAGGGTCACTTTTGTGAAGAAAAAAGTTACTTTTGTGAAAATATGAGTCACTTTTGTGAAAAAAGGGGTTACGTTTGTGAAAAAAAGGGGTCACTTTTGTGAAAAAAAGGGTCACTTTTGTAAAAAAAAGGTCACTTTTCTAAAAATATGAGTTACTTTTGTTAAAAAAGGGTCACTTTTATAACAAAAAAGGGTCACTTTTTGTAAAAAAAAGGGTCACTTTAATGAAAATATTACTGTTCACATGCGCAAAATGTCGATGTACAATAAAATTATTGTAAACCGGGGGCATGCAAAAGTTTTTGCAACAAATAATGAGTAAGTAATGTTAATTATATTGATTAAACTAAATAAAGCCGGATAAATAACTACTTGTAATTATGTAGTACCAAGTAGTTTAATTTTCAATTATTTTATCTACCATATTTCCACATAAACAATAAGCTGAGAAGATTTAATCAACGCCGCTTCCCTTTAAATCACAAATATATATAGATCCGAACATCAATCTTCACCATTTTACAAAGCATTAATAAAGAAATTTCTTTTAAGAGAACCCACTTCATTACCTCGCTAAATAAACTGTTATCCAAACAATTTAATTATGAATCAGATCTAATGTTTTTTTCTTGCCGTTATAAGTATAGCGAAATTTCTTTTTAAATAACGACATAAATAACCTCTATCCTTACAAAAAAGTTACTGACTCGTTATAACCAGATACAAATTTGAGATTCTCGAAAAAGAAAGGTGGCAAGAATAAGAATTCAATCCACCATTTTAGGTCATCCAAAACATTAAAACCCAACTAAAATCCGGTTTTTTAAATCCGAGAAAGATAAATACTACTTGAGATAAAATAAATCCGAATGTTCCAATTTAGACCCCATTTGATAAAGAGGAGTTCCAACGGATGAAGATGCCAAGTGTTGACAAAGCAAAGAAAATAAAAAATGTCCCTTTTTATTTTTCACTTCCCTCTTTTTTTCTTTCTCTCTCTTAAATTCACGTAATATTTGTTGTAAGAGGAGAGAGAAAACAAAAAGAGGTGAGAGAAAGAGTGGAGTGAGAGAGTCGTCGAACTAGTTCTTTTCGAAGCTCTGATTCACTACTTGTTACATCAAAATTCACTGTAAGTTGTCAAATTTCTTGAAGTTTTCATTCGATTTGTTGATTTTCAGTTGTTATTTGTCATTGATTTTGTGTTTTTTGTTGTAATTATGATTGTAAAATGTCGCGTTTTGTCAGCCTAGGGTTTTGGTGATGAGTGTGAATTTGGTTGGTTTTTGCGTTTGATTTGGTTTGAATTTCGTGCATTTAGCTTGTTATGGTTAATTTTACTGTGATGTTGGTTGTGTTTGGGGTTGATTTGAGGTGTTTGTGGATCCGACCTTGTTGATTTGGTGGAGAAAGTGGTGAATTGGTGTTTTTGTGGTGTAATTTTTGGAATTTGTGTGTGTTTATGATCTGATTATGTGTTATTCAGGTTTTATGATGTGCAAGATTTGATTTTTGTTGAAAATTCTTGGTTTTCAGGGTTTAAGAAGTTGTTGAGGGTGAAATTCGTTTGTTTTCTGCTGAAAGAAAGAAGCTTTAATTTAGCTGACTGTGGGATTTGATAATGGGGGAGGAGGATGCGAAGTTGGAAGTCATGGAGACTGTTATGAATGGGACCAAGTCTCCGGTGAAGGAGGCTGGAACTGTGGTGGAGGAGAAAGAAAACGGAGTCAAAGATATGGTGGAAGAAGATAAGAAAGACAAGAATGATGGCAAAGCTAAGGAGAAAACAGGTGATGAGGGCAAGGGGGAAGAGAAGGTGGATGAAGGCAAAGAACCTAAAGAAGAGGACGCCAAAGTAGAGGAAGGCAAAGAGCCTAAGGAAGAGAAGAAAGCTGAAGAAGAGGAGGGTGAAGAAGAACCTAAAACTGAGGCGAAGGAAGAAGAAAAGAGCTCGAATGAAATTGAGAAGGACGTTGAAATGACTGAGAAAAATGAGAATCTGGAAGAGAAAGATGAGGGTGCTGAAGAGAAAGTTAAGGGTTCAGAAGAGAAGATGGATGAGGAGAAAGAGAATGACGATGAAAAGGTAGAGGGTAAAGAAGAGGCAATGGAGAGTGGAGAGGAAAAGGATCATGAAGAAAATGATACAGAAGAGGTGAAAGGTAGTGAAAAGGGAGAAGAAGACGAGAAAATTAAGGAAGATGAAGAGGAAAAGGGGAACAAGGAGGAGAAATCCTCAAAGAAGCGTAGCCGGGGAAAGGGTGCTGAGGATAAGGGTGCAGATAAGAAAAAGAAAGTAGTCCAAAAGGAGTTGGAGCCTAGAACTCCAACTATTGATCGCCCAGTACGTGAACGGAAATCTGTAGAAAGGTTGGTTGCAACAATCGAGAAAGATAACTCTAGGGAATTTCACATCGAGAAGGTGCTGTTTGCATATTTCACTATTCCTTCTAGAAGTTTTTTTAAACTCTTTATCCCCTGGAATTTAGTTCTCATTTTGCTTGATATTGCAGGGTCGCGGCACCCCACTGAAAGAAATTCCCAACGGTATGTAGCTCCTTACCCTACACTTTTTGATCAGATTTACTTGAAAGCTTTTTATTATATATGCATTATTGCTTCAACATAGGCTGTGTAAAAAATTAAATCTAATAGTAATAATGTTCCTTTTGAAGAGAGAAATTCTTAATTATTATTTTTTTAATAAAAAGTACTCGTATTCAATAACTGTGTTGTGTGGATTTGATTGCTGACCAATAGTTAATTTCCCTTTTGGTTTTAGCTTTGAACTTTATCTCATTGAATGGTTCATTGGTTCTGTTATGTAATTTCATTTACTTAAAGCATGATTTGAACATTTATCTTACCATTTAAAGACTATGAATGAATTGCAGTGTTTTGTATTTTCATTTATTATCTTGCTGTTTTGGCTTTCTGGCACAAAATGCTGCGTCTATGGCATTTTATCAAGTGAACTTATTATATGTGTTCATAGATATTATTGAATGGGTTTGAAAGATTGTATTTAAGATGATGATGCATGAATTAGTTAAACTGTTGCTATAAATGATTCAGCCAGCTAGCAGTTTTCTAGTTTTTCCTGTTTGTGGCATAGAGAAAGAAGTATTAGTTTTGATCTGTTAGTATTGCAGACAGAACTGTGTATTTGGCTGGAACAAAACTTATGCATGGTGGGATAAATTATTATCTTTTGCAGCAGATTGCTGTGTGATTGTATAAGTGTATCTTTTTGCAACAATTTTTGTGATTGTAAATTGTATTAGTATATGTACATTGCTGTTCTGCATCTTGCTATGGACTTGGTTTACAAATTCTAATCTAGAGCAACCTCCAGGCTGGAAAACCTCATGCTACTGTCAGGCCTCAACTTGAACCTGGAGATGTGAGGTGACTGGTCGGAGAGTCTTGCTTAGTGTTGTTAACTTTTTTCGATGCATTAGATATCTGTCTTGTTATGAAGACTTTTTTATGTAACATTGAACCTCCCCTGTCATGTCCGCCTTTTTGGTAAAATGTGATATTGACAATAAACCTGAGCTAGGATGTACTCATGTTTTGTGTAAAAAAGCTTCATGTCAAAGTGTTGATAAACTCTTTTCATTATGTAATATCATTTGAGTTTGTTGTTGATGTAAATGGTATATAAATTGTTACAACACGAAATCTAATTCTTGCTATGCTTAGATGTGGGCATTCTTTTAAATGAAGTGATTTTCTGCTTGATGAACTGACTCAACCAACTAAAGCTTCCCTTAATAAGAGATACTATCATAGAGAAATAGCCTATCAATGAGATATTTGTTTACTGATTTGTAACTTTGTGAGCTCATTCATACTCTCTCGTGGGAGTGCTTAGATGGATGAAGTTCATTTATCGCTCTCTATTGTGGAAATGAATAGTTGGATGAGCGAAACAAGATGTAGAGGTTACCGGTTCAATCTAGCTTGTAGTCATGGACCCCTCCACCTGATAATTTTTTTTTTTTTACGTTAGATACAAAAAACAGTAGAATAAAGTTTCTGAACCTTCCACAGGGTAGCGAAACATGCTCAATTAATAGTCCTCTCTCAAACATCATATATAAAAATCCATTGATGTGGGTCGCCTAGTTTCATGTATGATGTGCTTCTTAACATTAGGGCTTTTCATCTTGTTTGAAGCAATAGTGTTTCTTTGATGGATTATCTCAAAGTAAAAATGTAGTATCTATCTGTAGGATTCTCTGGCTTTATAATCATGTCCACTGCTGTATAAATAAAATTCTTGCTACTGTATGGTGTTTGGTATAGAAATATAATTTCCCCCTCACCCCTCCCCCCCCCCCCCCCTCTTCTGATGTTCCTTTTGCATTGCAGTTGCATACAAGCTATCCAGGAAAAAGAGTGATGAAACCTTTAAGATGCTACATATGATTCTGTATGGAAGAAGAGGGAAGGTGTGTATTTGCAGCTCTCTACTGACAAAATCTCTTTTTGTTATGGCTCAATTATTTGCTCCATCTTTGTTGTGGAATTCATATGTAATTTAAAATTCCTTATTAGTAATTGATTTATAGTTGTTTAACTTACTGACTTATTCAATAGATCGTGGACATGCTTTGGGAAGTAATGATAATTAGCTAAGAGTATGTTCCCTCTGTAACATATTGATTGTCACTTCTGCTGTTTGAGATTGAACTTTGATCGTGAAATTCTCTCATGCTATTAAGATATAGTAACATGAAACCAAAGCTTTATTTCCAAAAGGATAGGTCGTCTGCATGAAACCTTCTCATAATTTTTGTAAATTTACAATGAGAGAAAATCGCAGTCAAATTATAGGTGTAAAGTGCAAGCAATTGTTAATGTATAACATGACATGCTTGAATGAATGTGATGCTAATAGTAGCTTTTATTCAACTTCCAACATATTTTGAAATCTGTAGCTAGAAGGTCAAGAATTCTGTCAACATCATTTATTTCAGCATTTACTTTTATATTACAAAAGAAATATGGTTTGATAAAGTATCATTGCTTACTTGCATAGCAATGATGATTTGAACTTTGAAGTCATTAAACCGGGTACATGCAGAGAAAATAATAAGATGACGGCGGACTGTATTTTGCTATTTTTATGCTAAACCTTTGCAGTCGGTTCATCTTGCCAAACGCTGACAATCTATAAGATTAAAGCTCTAAACATTGTATAAATTTCCTAGACCTGCATCAAATAACTGTCAATTTGGTTTTGATTGACCTTTTACACTCTTGATAGTAGTACAGTCTATTTTGTTAATTAGCAATATGGATTTGTCATATCAAATTAAAATTTGCCTGGAGATGTGAAAACTCATGCACTCTGATTTGGAATATTTGGATTTTAAGAATTGATCTTATATGTAAACTGAGTGTTTAGGGTTTCACTCTGAAATGATCATGTTTTCGGTTTTAAGATTTTTTTTTTTTTTTTTTTTCACACTTCTACTTGTATACGTCAAATGATAAATTTTGCATTTAAGCTGCATATCCAATTATTATTAATGCGGTGAAACTCTTTCCTCCTTGAATCACATGATCTTTAAATCTTCCATTCTTTCTGTTAAAAATTATCTTGTTTTTGGATGGGTTGGTGACGTGGTGCTGGTTTTGGAGATAAGATCTATCTGTTTGCTAAAGGTGTGAACCAAGATTCTATACTATAAATGTAAGGATTAACAGCAAGATGACAAATATAGACGCATTTATAAAGGGGAGGATGTATTGTCTAATAATTAATGAATTACTTTGATTTATTTAATGATGTACTCTTAAGGGAGCTGTGGATTAACTTAATGATGCGCTTTGATAAAATATATTGTTCGCCTTAATAAAATGTTTCATTGGAAGATTGATAGGGGATTGAACATTATTCTAATTAGCTTCTTTTTCTCTTGCAGGCAACTGAATTTAAACGCAATATATCGCGGTTTTCAGGTTTTGTCTGGCATGATAATGAGGTAAATCACAAATTTTTTTGTGCAGGGCCCTGCACTTGTGAACTTACTTTTTCATTATCTAAATCAGTTTTGAAGAACTAGATGTCCAAGCTTCTGTGTCTTAATTTTTCTGCGTGTTTTTGGTTGGTGATTTATAAGTTTTATCTGCAGCACATTGTTCAGTTCTTTTGTAATAGTGACCTATATTCTGATATATAAAAGAGCTGGCCCTTTTTGTTACCAATTGGCCTTGTCTGGCTTGTTTGCTTGCTGATTTTTGTGTTGCATTAAAAAACATAATTTTTAAGATTAAAATGGATTGGATGTCTGATAGTCAGACATTGTGGGCAAGAAATAATATTAGTATCATAGGCATCATCTAGAAAGAGTAGTCTAGTTTATGGAAATCTAGGAAATCTATGAGCTGCTTAAAATTTGCAGTCTAAGTGATCTGTCATTAATAATTATGGGAATTAAAGAGCACTTTATCAGGAAAAAGACAGGTGTCACAGATGGTTGTGTGTGTGCCCCTTGACCTTGTTCAACAAAATTAATTGAAGCAGGGTTGTATGATGACTTTAATGTTCTTGTTACTGCTGCTCCTGACTTTGAATTAAATTAAGGAAAGGCACATCTAAGTTTCTTAGCACTCCTTTGTCTATTACTGCTGCTTGAACTTAATTTACTTGTGGAGGGAAAGTTTGTCTTAAGTTTATTAATCTAATTGCAGGAGAAGCAGAGGCTGAAAGTCAAGGAAAAGTTTGACAAGATTGTGAAAGAGAAATTGCTGGACTTCTGTGATGTGCTTGACATACCAGTTACTAAAGCCACCATTAGAAAGGTATGTCAATTGATTTAAGTTTCTTTGTATTATCATTGCCATGCCACTTTCCCTTTAACTTAGGTGAATTTATAATTAGATCCCAAGTTTCTGACAGTCATCTGTGGTTAATGTGAAGTGAAATCATGAAATGGGTTTCCTTGATATTACCTACCTTCCTCCTATAGAAAAAACCTTTTAAACACTGGAATTTCAATCTTCTGAATATGAAGACTAGCATGCACATGTACTTTAGCTGACAAGGCAGCATTTGAAAGTAAAGCCTATTGGAATATACTTTTGTCTTGTTCAGCATGATTTTGCTGATCAATGTATTACTTTTCAACATTTTTTCATGTATAGCTATTTGGATTGAACTTTTTGTAGAAATAATTTTGAATGTTTGAATTGTGATACTAAGTGTTCAAAGTATTGTACAGGAAGATGTTGTTGCCAAGCTGCTTGACTTTTTGGTTTCTCCTCATGCTACTACTACAGTTTTACTAGCAGAGCAAGATCAGGTTTGTAACAAAGATAGTGGAAGTGAATCTGTCATTGCAATGTGTAAAGCTGCTTATATGACATTTCAATTACCACTGCTGTTTGTATGCTATTTTGCTGTTTTAGGGCAAGAAGCGCAAGAGGTCTGCCACAAAAAGTGCATCTAAATCAACATCACCTAAGGGCTCTTCCAAGGTTCGGATCCCCGGTCTCTATTTGCCATTTTTCCAATGCTCCTAGAATTTATACTTGGTTTCCAAATCATTATACTTCTGTACTCTTGTGTCATTAAGATATATGAGATAAATATATACATCATTTACATTGTTTGCATCCTGTCTTTATTAAATTTGTTTCCTTTTTTCGTTGGCCATTATGGTTGCAGAGCCGGAAGAAGGCTGGCGATGCTTCTAAAAAAGAAGAAAAAAAGACTACTTCAGAGTCTGATGATGAGTCTGCGGATGAGGAAGAAAATGAGGAAGGGAAGAAGGAGAATGGAATTGCAGAGAAATCTGAGGATGAGAAATCTGAGCAGTCTGAGAGTGAAGAGAAAAAGGACATGTCTGAAGATGACTCTGGAGAAGATACACCAAAAGAGAAAGCAAGTTCAGGAAAAGCGAAACAGGAAAACAAGAAAAAGACTCCAAGTGTAGAATCTTCAGGAAAAGCTGCTAGCAAAATAGTTGTCACTCCTAAGAAAGCTAGGTCAGTGCCTAAAGGAACACCAAGAAAATCATCATCAAACAATTCCAAGGTTTTTGAGAGCAAGAACTCAAGCCCTAAGGTGTTCTCAAGGAAGAAGAAGAAGGAAGAGCCGAAGACAGAGAAGTCTCCAGCTCCAAAGAAATCTGCTGTTAAGGAAAAACCTGGTAAGTGTAAACCTTTAAAACATCTGTCCAACTTAAGCACCACATGATATCTATCCGGATACCCTGAAAATGTTCCACCTTTACTGTCATGCTTATTTTATACCGAACATTATTAACCGGCTTGGTTTATTCTCCAGCAAAAGCTGCTTCTGAAATTGATTCTGTTTGGAATTAGGGGGGGGGGGGGGGGGGGGAAGATAATTGTGAGTAATAACTTGCAGAGTTCTTTTGAAATAAATCATGTTAAGTTGCAATTCTTGTAGAGCATTTACTGCTAAAATACTACTGTACTAGGCTGTGGGTTTGATTCGGATTTAACATTGATATCTGTCTAATTGTTATCATGTTGAAATTGTACATTATTAAGTATGGTTGCTTAGGTTGTGTGTCAAATCCTGAATTAAATCTTTAAACTGAGTTTGCTCTGTTATCCTGAAGGTAAAAAGGCTGTGAAAGGGAAGGAGAAATCCAAAGAAGACAGATCAAAGCCAAGTGATGATGAACTAAGGAATGCAATATGTGACATTCTAAAACAAGTTGACTTTAATACGGTAAGAATTGAGTGTTTATAATGTGTCCATGTCTATCACTGTTAAAAAAGATTGCTGAGTGTTTCATGGACTATCCATCCCTCATTGTTGCTCTACACTTACGTGCATTTGGTGTTAATTGACTTTAAGTTCTAGTTAACTTGTTCTGTCTTGCTCTTAAATGACTACACTTCCATCACCATACTATATGAGACCTGGGGTGATCAGCTTATGCTAACCCTTACCTCTAAGCTAAGCTGGAGAGACTAGCAGAAGGTGGTACTTGCTATTCTGCCTGAATTGTACAAAACTACAAATTATATTATTTCTGCGCGGGTATTGTGTATCAGCGCTTTTTTGGGCCTTTTGATGGCTTGTGCAATTGTCACACTGGGATTTGTTGTTTCTGTACATCTCATTTTTTCTGCTTGCAGTTTCATGTTTGTGGTAGTTATATGTAACATGTGCCTTGCAACACTTGGAGCTTATGCCAGTCACTTTCCTCACTGATATGTTTTTTTAATCTACAGGCAACCTTCACTGATATTCTGAAGCAACTTGGTAAGATCTCTCTTTTAAATCTGGTTTTCTACAAATTGTAGACTACAATATCAACATCACTAATTCGCAAGATATGGTGTAGTCTACAATATCTTACGAGTTGCTGATGTTGATATTGAAAATATGGCCTACTAACGTGATGATCTTCTGAGATTTTTGATAGCACCTGCGGTTAGCCAGTCACTAACTTTTTTCCCACCTGCAGCCAAGCAATTCAGTACTGATCTCACGTCCAGAAAGTCATTGATCAAGCTTATGATACAAGACGAGCTTACAAAACTAGCTGATGAAGCTGATGATGATGACGAGGGAGATGAGGGGGATGCTGAAAAAAACCGAAGCCCAGCCTGCTAGCAAAGAGGTGGAGGCCTGATTTGTGACACAGCAGCAGAACAAGTGGTAAAATATATGTGATCATCTGTCCATACCTTCGTTTCTGCCCTGGGGTTAAAGAAATTTAGATAGTATTAACTTTGCTTTAGTATCGGGCCTTGCTGTTTAGTCTAAACAAGTAGCTGTAATCTATCGATAGTTGTTTATAATATTCTGGCAAGCAAACTAGTCTTTTGCTAGCGATAGTATTAGAACAGTTGATGCTCATGCTGCTGAGTACTTAGAACAGTTGATGCTCATGCTGCTGCAGGATGCAGGTTGTAATATACAAATTTAAGAAATTGTTAGGTCTTTTACTTTTGAGCTTTTCTAATTTAAACCAACTTTTGTGGACCAAAAGGGTAGATCTTTGTTGATCATTTTTCAACTTGGGTTGAGAAAGAGGCCTTTCTTTTACTCTTGACTTAAAGTCTTGATTTCGGATTTTGTACTAGTTTTTTCTGTTGTATAATGTTTCTTGTCATCCCAATTCTCTGAATAAATGAGTTATATTATATGGTGGTAGTTAGTTGTTGGTACGCATGAAGGAAAAAGATGCTATGTAAGATGGCGACGTAGGTGGGGATCATGAGGTTGATTTCACTTAATTTTCCTTCTCCCTGTGTTTTTCACTTGGATCAACACTGGATGACCTGAGATCTTGACACGAGGGGATAAGCCATTACGTTTTATGTCGATTGAAGCATTTGTATCCAAATTGATCTATTTGTTTTTTTTTTTTTGGCAACAATCATGGATATTCGAGTGTTTTGAAAATTGATCTGTTCTTTTGGCAACAAATCATCGATATTCTAGTGTTTTGAGGAATAAATCGTGGAAAAATTGCATATTTATAATGAAGAGTTAATTACTCTGTAATTATTTTGGCAACCGAAATTAACATTTGTGTTTTTTGTTTGTTTGTTTGTGTGCAACTAATCGACCAACATTACATTGAGCTTTTAAGGAGTAAATTGCATATTTATAACGGGTAAATTCTTATTAAATCCAAAGAACAAAAACCTTACGTTATTTCAACCTTTTTATTAACCTGAATTAATAATGTATTTTGGCAAATGATTGACCGATATTAGTGTTTTGGAAAATAAACCGCATATTTATAATGAAGAGCATAAGAGGTAGTCGTGGACAATTATTTTTTCTTTCAAAATTTGCTATCTGCCCTTTCAACGGGCTAAATGGGACGATCTTAGTACTGAGTTGTTCATTCCATGAATAGCTCTAGCATACAAACACGTATCAAGACCACAACTATCAGAATAACTACGTGATGAAATTATACTACATGTTTGTATTAGATAATGAAGGATTGAGATAATATGACACCTGTTTAAAAGAAGGTATTACTATAATGACATTAAAGAAGTATGCTTTATTATCACGGGAGTTACATCGGCAACAAACTACTCAAGAATTACTCCATAGCAGTATAGCACATAGAAATCAATTGTACAAGATAACTTCTTTTTTTTTTTTTTTTTTTTTTTTTTGAGGAAAAATTGTACAAGACAACTTGCAAGGGCAAGAAACAACAATAGCAAATTAGCAATGGATGAATTGGTGATGAAGGATGCGAGTATCATAATCATGTTGGCAAAGTGAGTCATAGGATACCATCGACTGTCAAAATCATGGTTTCACCTAGTCACTTATGGACAAAACTCTTTTCCACTCAATGTAGTGGAGCATTTATTCAAGTACTAAGCCTAAATAAAATAAGGGTACAATAATACAAAAGAATATGATAAATTTATTATGACACGTATGAAAGTATTGAGTAGGAGTTATAATGAAATTTATTTTCTTTAAAACATTAAATTGGAAAATAAATCGGGCTCATTCAATTTATTTGATTTGTTTGAATTTACATCGTATATATATTTATCTTATGAGTTATTAAAAGAAATATTTGTATTTTACCACCCACAAATAACTCAGTTTATAAAATTACCACCCAAAAAAAATTATTTTATATTACCACTTATAAAAGACAAAAAAAAAAAAAAAAAGATTTTACACTTTCCATTAAAAAAACCGTTAAGTTTAACGTCTTATATAAAACATGCTTTTTAAATGTTTTGGGGGGTCATTTTTGTCCTATAGGTCAGCTTTGAAGTCAAAATTTACAAAAAATGATTGAGAATGCCTCGTTTTGCATATTAAAAGATACCTTGATTTGCGTGACACACGCAAAATGAGGCAATTTTGTTAATTATTTGTGAATTTTGACCTCAAATCGGACCCTATGGACAAAAATGACCTCCAACACCTTTAAAAAAGCATGTTATTGGCATGAAAATCAATTTTTTTTTTTTTAAACGTTAGATTTAACGATTTTGTTGGTGAAATCTAAATTTTTTTATCTTTTATAAATAAAAATTTGTTTGGGTGGTAATTCAAAAAATGGGTTATTTGTGGTGGTATTAGTGGCAGATGTAAGCCATTTGAGTGGGGTCCCTTGACCCCACTTGAGCATAAAAAAAAGAATTTTTTTTTAATAAAATTAATTTTTTTTTCCAATAAAATTACTTGTTTTTATATCAAATGACCCCATTAAAATTAACCAAATACATTTTGACCCTGTTAAATATTTTTTCTAGATCTACCACTAGGTGGTATAATACAAAAATTTATTAAAATGTATAAAATTAGCTTTTTTGATCTTATATGAGCTTGTTTTGTACTGTATCCAACAAAACTCCTTCCGTAATTTACGATATTAGTTATTCTCAAAATTACAGGTCACCTTTTATATATAAAACAAAGTATTCACTTTTTTTTTTTTTTTTCTTTTGAAAGAAAACAAAGTATTCACTTTTATTTTTACAATACTCCGTAGTTACTTAAAGAATACAAAATTAGATGATGTGATGCTTAAATATCTCAAAAAAAAAAAAACAATAATTTTCAAATCATTTTCACCAATGACAAGTCAAATATCAAGGTAATAATATTGCCCAACCAACTAGGTTTTCTTAGCAACATTAAATATTGTCTTAAAACTACACGAATTATGTAGAGATATATCGTGATATTTATGAAATAATAGTGGAATTATAGTTCAAATATTTAATGCCATAAAAAGGCCCAAATAAATATATGACCTACCCCATTATTATTATTATTATTATTATTATTATTTGTTTTTTTTTCCTTGATGTAACACTATAGAGATTGATCAACTAAGATAATGTTATCCTTAACCGGCCAAACAGAAATTCTTAAAACTTCTATGCAAGTATAAATTATGTGATTTTCTTAAAAAAACATGGAGTACATAATTATTAATTATTATTATTTTTAAAAAAAAAAGTATTCAAAGGGGCATATTAAAACTGCCAAAAAAAAAAAGGTGATGCATTTTATGACCTCTGAAGCTAGGAAAAGGTGATCGAACATCTTTGGCTTAGAAAAATTATTCCATGTTTTAGAGAAAAAAAAGGGTTTCTCTTTTAAAACCTTACTCTACATTCGAATTTACCTATTTTACATCTTTCCATCATTTTCATGCATCTATTCGCTTTATTGCCTACCTTTTTTGGACCATATATGCATCAAATTTCAAATTTTAGAAACACAAACTTTAATATGAACAATCTAATCTTACCTTCTCTATGGACTTGTTTCATATTCATTTGTATTGAATTTTATGCAGGTAAAAAAAAAATGTGAAAAAATGGGTAGCAGAGTGTGAATTTTAACTGTAAAGAAATTTATCATTTAATTAAACATCGTACCAGAAGAATTGGGTTTGATAAAAAGGAGATGAGAGAGGGTGTAAAATAATAAATTCAAGCTTATATTATATGAAGTACTTTGTAATACAAGATAATTTCATGTCTCATTCTTGTCACACAATCACCTTTAACATACTCCTACCTCCTTACAATTAATAGTCCCGTCAAAAAAAAAGTCACACAATGTCGATGAATTAACATATTTTCTAAATTATTTGATGCGATAAATTTCTAATATGTTTCTAGCTATATTTTAATTAAAAGACATGGAGATGATGAAACTGGGTTTGCTATTTAAAATACTATTTTTTTTTATTTAATTTTTTTTTTAACAACCATATCATATCCTTAATGATAAGGAGTTTGACCATATTATAATTAATTTAAATCTAGATGGATTATATTAATATTACTTAACCATTTAATTATCATCATTTTTACAAAAGGAGAGAATACAAGACATGACAAGGATTGTAAAAAAGGATGTCAAGTGTGCTTTCTAAGAAATATATTAATGTCTAATGTAAAGTAGGAAAACACTCTAAGTATTCAAATGAGTGAGCATTCATCAATCTTTCTTAGACACTTGGATGCTAGCAATTGGATGATAGTAAAGAGAAGATATTTGCACAAATCTTCGAATATAAAATTTGATGGTCAATTGATCCCAAATTGAGGTAATGGAATATCCTACTGCCATGTCACCTAGTACAATCTACTGTTCACATCCCCCACCCCCTCCTTCCAAGAGCACAAATCGCTCTTACTAGGGATCGATCCTAGGACCTCCCCTAAGAAAGGTAGATGACAAATCGAATGTGCTAAATTTTGCTTTAAATTTACTACATGTTAAAAAATAAATGTTGGGCACATCTTATTTATAAATTGAGATTACTATATGTGGCAGTCGTCTTAAACTCATATCAAATACAAGATGTTTGGAACAATTTCTAAATAATCAAACCAAACTATTTAATCTGAATTATATCAAATTCATGTTGAGTTTCAAGCAATGTTACGTATTTATGAGCCATTATCTTTATAAAATTGGTTAGAGAAGTTCACGAAGAACTGAGCTTACTTGAAAGACAAGACTTGACAGTCTTGAATCATATTAGTGACCCCTTAAATCAAACACGTTTCATTTCTAAACAAATAAAGTTGGTCCCTCAATCTTGTACATAATATCTTATACCTTTAATCTCAAACCATATGTATCATGACTCAAAAAAGACAATCAACCACCTAAATTGAATCGAGAATAGCTAAACCAAATTTTCATTACACATGACTTAATCAACTCATTTTCTACATTAATATTAGGATTGATTTGGTAAATATATCATTATGAATTATAAAATTTGCTACTTAATATTACGTTTTTGGGTTTACAGAATGTTCCGGCTTCCTAATTGTCTAAGTTAACTGTACATCAATCAACTCCACTTTCACAACCATTTATTCATTTTCGCGCACTATCTATTCATATAGACATAACTGTAAGTCTGTAACTGTTGCGAGTATTCAGAAACAAAGCGAGCACTTATCACCACTCTCCTCTCCAATATAGTGGATCCCAATCATCCCTGCACCACTCTTAGTACTCCACATGTTAAAAGCCACCTAGATGAATGGTCAACATCAATTCTCCCACATTAACCAATCCAATCCAATCCAATGAACTTATCACCAAACAACGTCTTAGAATCTTCCACGTATCTTCTTCAAACAATCTTCTTCTTCTTTTTATTTTTCTTCTATATAATATTTTCATTTTTATTATTTTCTTCTTCTTCATTTTCTTCAACAGCTAACAAATACTCCATTAACCAAAAAAACCGTCCTTTCTCTTCGCGAACTTTCTCATCTTTCCTCCTCTTTTTTTCTCTCTCTCCCCTAAATTACGTCCTTTTCTTTCACTTTTTCTCTTGATTTTTTTTTTTTGCTGATTTCACCTGAATTTTGATTCTAACACTCTGAAATTACTCCGATTCTGTACAATTTTAACAAAACTTGTCGGTTTCGATTTGGTTTTTGGATCATTTGTGGAGAATTAGGGTTTTTTGGATCATTTGCGCAGAATTAGGGTTTTCTAATTTTGTTTGCGCGAAATTGTGATTTTTTGAAGAGATAGAAGTTGAATGTTTGAATTCAGAGTAGCAGTTGATTCACAAGGATTCGAGCAGTCGAGCTTCTTTAATTGATTTTTTTGATCAAGCTTTCCTTCTGTTAAGGTAATTAATCGAACAAATTCTTCGCTAATTTGTTAATTTTCTAGAGAGAAATTGAAACTTTGAATCAATAATAGCTATTGTTTCCAGAATTTGATCAAATTCTAACTCATTTTCTGTAAGATTACGTTCTTTTAGCTAAAAATCGCATATTATAACCTATTAATTCCACCGATTTTGTAGAGTTTGGTTGAAAAATCACGTTCAAATAATTTTTTTTTCAGAATTTGCGCGAAATTGTTGAGAGGAGAAGTCGAAGAAGAATTCAAACTCAGACGAGTTGACCGAGTTGACTCATGGGTGACTCGGACAATGACTCGGGAGGAAAGTCGAACAACTTCAGCCGCGGAGATTCATACCCGAAAGAGCAGGACCGGTTCTTGCCGATCGCAAACGTGAGCCGGATCATGAAAAAGGCGCTACCGGCTAACGCGAAAATCTCAAAGGATGCAAAAGAAACGGTTCAAGAATGCGTTTCGGAGTTCATCAGCTTCATCACAGGAGAAGCGTCGGATAAGTGTCAACGAGAGAAACGGAAGACGATCAACGGTGACGATCTTCTTTGGGCGATGACAACGCTTGGGTTCGAGGAGTATGTTGAACCGCTGAAGATTTATCTGCAGCGTTTCAGGGAGTTGGAAGGGGAGCGAACCGGGCTTGGACCCCCGGTTCAAGGAAATAATAGTAATAGTAATAATAATAGTAACGGAGGAGTTGGGGTAAATAGTGGAAATGGTGGGGGTGTTTTTGGAATTTCACAAGGTGGACACGTGTATGGATATGGTGGTGGCGGCGGCGGCGGGGTGGTGGAAGTGGTAGTGGGGGTAATAGAGGGATTTTGACTTATGGTGGGCCTGGTGGCGCTAATGGTGGGCCGAGGTGATATTGTTGTTATGTTTTGTTGGGCCCCCACTAGGTCTTGTAAGTAGAGTGAGTGGGGTGTGTGTATTTTGTATTATTTTTGGTATCTTTGTAGGTTTTCAACTATTAATGTGAAATTAATTGGAGTTTGGTAGCTCTAGAGATTAGAGTGTACTTAAGAATGTGGTTTATTTTGGGCATGTCATTTGATAGCTTTGGTCATAGTGTACATAAAGCATTAAAAATTTACAATTATGGATTGGAAATTGAGGAGAGTTGTGAAAAACGTGTAAGAATTGATCTTACTATCCTTATAGTAAGGTATGAGATGATTCCATTGAATTTGCTTGCAAGGCGCAACTAGTTTATGACACTTTTCTTCACTTCTTACCTCTATCAAACTTGACTTGTATGGTGGTAATTACTCTGATTAGTAAGTATAAAAACACATACCTCATCTTTCAATTCTTGTCAATGGTAAAATAGGTGTATGTGTTAGAAGAAAGTAAATATTTGATGCTTATGAGGATGAATTATATGTATATGTACAACGAAAGTCCTTTATAAAATCCCATGATAATGTTACATCCTCATAGTAATACATTTTTTCTCTGTTAAATGACCAGTCGTATATCTTCTATAAATAGAAAGACAATTATCCCGTATATGCAATAATATTCCTTGTTAGTCGTTAGCCCTTATTAAATGATATAATACTGATATGGTTTTGAAAGTAATGCCGGCTTGAGGTGGCACCAGTAGTATTATGTTCAATACCCGATTAATCATTTTAATTTAAAAATTCATAACTTTGAGGTGTAAATTATATCTATATTTATTTTTAATGTCGTAATAATTGCTCCATTTTTTTATTTGGCAGATATATTAGGATACCATCACTCTCCTTACCCTTAGGAGGGCGGTGCTGCCTTATTAATCTTTCTTTCCTCTTTCTTATACTAGGTAATGTGTCATTTAAAAATGGTGCAATTACATTGATACAAATGAAGTATGTAACAAAAGTTAGTAGTATCGGCTAATTGCAAACACTTGCATATAGGAAGCGACTGGAGGCCCATGATATTAGAGATTACTGAGCTATTCCTGCACTCATAAGATTAGCACGAGTGCTAGACTAGATGAAACATGGATGCTTTTGGACTGCAATGTTCATTCCTTTATACTGTATTGTAGTGTTTATACAGACACACAAGTGCATGATAGGCACATGTCGATTTCTTGCAATATAGTATTTGTACATGTGTAAATGTCGGGTTGTCATTTTATGTACTTCTAAGTGCATGAAATAATATAGAGACACGGAATTTGCAAAGTTCCATCAACGTATGGTAATAAGAGTATCTCTCACAGTCTCACACAATATATATGTCTACGCCTAAACAAAGGTTATTAGGGGAAGGAGACACTGAATAACAACTAATAACTAAACAAAGGTTATATTAGGGGAAGGAAACACAAAACAGTCAGCCATTATTATCCTATTATTCTTAATTCCTTATAAGTAGTCATGTACATACATACCATGCCAAGGCCATAGCCCAATAAAAAAAAATCCATTATATAGACGTAGTAAGATCCATCATATATAGACATAGTGGATTTTGGTTGGGTTTTTTCATTGAATCCAATAAGTGAAATCAAGCACAAATTTTTAACTTACCTAATTTTCATTTATCTGAACTTGTCTTATCGTATCCGAATTTATTTGAACTCACATAAACTTATTAAAATTTATTTTAGTTGTAATTTGTACTTGAGTAGCCCTTATCAGAACTTATTTTTCCTGAACAGAATTTATCTGAAATTATTACACTTAAAATAAGTAAAAATTAGGTGAACATACATAACAAGCCTTGTATTTCTCTAATCACTATAAACTTTTAACAAAATTTAAACACGTATGTACTGTATAAAAGGAGTTATATGTCTTTACATTTTCCCTTTGTTATTTCCAGATGTATTGTAACTAGGGGTGGTTATTGGGAGGGTCGGTGCGGGGCGGGTTGGTTGCGGGTCATAATGAATATTTAGTGGGTCAGGGTCGAGGTAAAAGTAAAACGGGCCATTAATTTGCTTCATTCTTCCTTCATAATTTTTTCAAGTTTATCAAAATCAACATAATCAGAAAAACTACATGAATACCCAGCCCGGACGGCGGCCACAACAGCAAACATAATTTACACCACAAGTCCACAAACGAAGCAAACAATAGGTAGTCCAAATTCCAAACTGACATAATAACATTACCAATTAATCAATTTAAAAATGTGTTACTACTTCATCTATTCTTATCATTAATAGAGCTAGGCTCCTATCAACAGCATCAACAACTTCGAAATTATACCTAATATCTTCAGTTTTGTGTTGGCTTCAACTGGAATATCTAGACACAATTCATCCTTTAATAGCATCAACAATGCTCTGCAGCTTTGAGACTTCGGATATTAGCTTCATTCTTGTGTTCGCTTCAGCTGGAACATCTAGAGATAACAATGAAAGACTTATATCACAATCTTGTTATACATAATAACCTGGTTGAAACTTCGACACTTGCAAAGAAACAAACAGCAATTTCATTTTGATGTAAAATTCAATTACATAATAACATTACCAATTAATCAATTTAAAAATGTGTTCAATTCAACAATTCATTTTACAATTACTTGAAATTTAACGCAATTAAAAATTAATTAAAATGCAAATTACAAGCCCTAACTAGCTTTAAGTAAGTAGCAAAATCACCCAGAAGAAAATCCAATTTGAATTGAGGGCAGATTAAGAGAGAGAAAATGATGTTACCTGAGACTCTGAGTGCGAAACTTCAATGGAGAACTCTGAGTGCGCTTCAATGGAGAACTCTGAAGGTGGGCGGAAGAACAGAGGAGAAGAGAGAGAAAATGGAAGTGAGTGCAGCTGACCCTTATTATTATTACTGGGCTTTTTAGTTTAATTATTAAATTATTGGGTTATAAAATAAGACCCTATAAAATAAAATCCTATAAAAGTCCTGTCCATTAAAAAATTAAAGGGTCAAAATCCTTTAATATTAGGCCCGACTCTTTTGTCATTGGGTAGCCCTACCCAATAACCAGGCCTAATTGTAATCAAGTAGTACTTGTTTAAGTGGTATGTAGTTTTGTTTTGCATATTTTCAATCATGAGATTTTGGTACTCCGTATTAATCTTCAATAGGAGCCATTCATAATACAATATTTGTGTTGTACTGTGTTAGCGATATAAATAGCCAATCCCTTGAGAAAAGTGAGAAGAATACCTAAGGAGATCAAATAAAGTCGGAGAACAAAGATCGACCTCTAGCTAATTCTAGCAAATTGATTAACCTTTTTAAATAATTAAATTCAAGATTATTATTATAGAGTTTAAGCAAATTAAAATAAGAAATGAAACATTATTCACTTAATCACTTTGCCAATTTTCGTAGCAGTTACGAGCAAGCAACTTTCTGCATAATTTCGATTACTAGATAGATATGTTTGTACGTGCATGCTTTATATTGTTACAATAAAGTAGGATAATTAGATTATTTAAAGTAGAATACAAGCACAACATACAATACATACTACGTAATTGTAGCTTGTAAGTTACATGCATGGATAGTATAACATATATACCATGCTACGCTATTATTTACGTTACATGCGTTACACATGGTACATGTTCATAACATATTAATTTTACACAACCATGTCGAGAGATTTGGAGTTAGCTTTGAGGCTCCAAAACATATCATTTATGGCAGAGAAATGACAGACCGGGGCATCACCAGGGCGGATCCCAAGGTATTGAAGGGCTGGGACATTAGGCTTCCACGCGTATGTGTCATAGTGACATACGGCGGTGGTTTGGATGGTGTTACCAGAGGTTGGGCTAACCAAAGTTACGTCGTAATGACCAATGTCTTGTTGGTGGTGACAGTAGTACACGACGTAAGGGTAGCTCATCCTATGGCATGCAGCAGCAGTATTGCCTGGTACAACCAACTTCTTCACTTTTGTTAACACGTAATCTTGTATGCCTTTAGGCACCTCAATATCGCTCCTCATCATTCTTAATTCAACATCGTTCGACCTCCCTTACAACAAAATCTACAACGTCTTCCATGGATTGGGCACAAGTCCTGTCATAATAATTAATTGCTTATTATTGAGGGCGCCCCCATTACTCACTGTGAGAAACGTTTTTGTTTCTTACAGTGGTAGTTTCGTAAATAAAATGTATCACTTTAGTCACGGTGGTACATTTTATTTACGAAATGGATGATAAAATTATACCATTTTAGTCACGACGGTACATTTTATTTACGAAACTGCCACTGTGAGAAACAAAAACGTTTCTCACAGTGAGTAATAGAGATTTACTGATATAATTAATGATTCGACGAAATAATTAACCAATAAAATTACATATTAGAAAAAATATTTGTAATAAACTGATCATAAATACTTGTATATTAAGCCTTGTTAAAGAGTAGTATAGTACCTGTTTTCCTTTTCCACCTTTGGTCTATGCAGACAGATATCAAGGGTTCCTTTAATTCCCGTTACTTCTATAGATCCAGGTTTTATCGAAAATAAATCGAGTATTTCAGTGAATTTATCCCCCGAGAAAGGGATGGATTGAGCAATGTGCTTAGGCAAAAAAGGAACACTTGGAGTCTTTTGAAAATCATGCTTTAATTTCTCTCCAAGGCGCAAGCTTTTCTCGACGAAAAAAACCGATCCAAAACTCACTTCGTGAACCTTTTCTTTATTACCATTCTCTTGGTTGTATTTCCAACCGTAGACAGTGTAAGGTTGGTCTATATTAACCTTTTCTTTTGCACTATCGGCTTCTTTTGCACTATCAACATTGTATTTCCAACCGTAGACGGTGTAAGGTTGGTCAATACCAACTCTCTCTTTTGCATCATCGGCATTGTATTTCCAACCGTAGACAGTGTAAGGTTGGTCTATACCAACTCTCTCTTTTGCATCATCAGCATTGTATTTCCAACCGTAGACAGTGTAAGGTTGGTCTATATTAACCTTTTCTTTTGCACTATCGGCTTCTTTTGCACTATCAGCATTGTATTTCCAACCGTAGACAGTGTAAGGTTGGTCAATACCAACTCTCTCTTTTGCATCATCGGCATTGTATTTCCAACCGTAGACAGTGTAAGGTTGGTCTATACCAACTCTCTCTTTTGCATCATCAACATTGTATTTCCAACCGTAGACAGTGTAAGGTTGGTCTATATTAACCTTTTCTTTTGCACTATCGGCTTCTTTTGCACTATCAGCATTGTATTTCCAACCGTCGACAGTGTAAGGTTGGTCAATACCAACTCTCTCTTTTGCATCATCGGCATTGTATTTCCAACCGTAGACAGTGTAAGGTTGGTCTATACCAACCTTCTCTTTTTCGTTATTTGCATCGTATTTCCAACCGAAGACAGTGAATGGTTGGTTCATATTAGCCTTCTTTGCCTGATCTGCATAGTTGCTACTATAAAGACATTGAAAAAAATTAGAAATTTTATAAGTTAGATTAGCAAAATTACACTTGAATGCCCATAAGATAGCTTAAAATGTTGTTGAAGAAGAATAAATAATCGAGGGCATACCCATTACTTACTGTGAGAAACATTTTTGTTTTTCACATTGGCAATTTCGTAAATAAAATGTACCACTTTACGGTGGTACATTTTATTTACGAAATGGATGATAAAATTGTACTACTTTAGTCACCGTGGTACATTTTATTTACGAAACTGCCACTGTGAGAAACAAAAACGTTTCTCACAGTGAGTAACAGAAATTTACTGTAAATAATCATTTAAAGGATAATAAGTATAAAATGATGTTGTTTTAGCTAAATGTTTCACAATTAATGACAAAGTACTCCGTATAACGTATGTCCCCTTTGTAAGAATATCCGAGTATGTACTGTTGAAGCAAATGGCAATATTTCAATTCTTAAAGTACTCCATAGTAAAAATGAATTGAAATTATAAATGACATTGAACAATAATACAAGTATGTAATTTGCCAAAAAAAAAAAACTTAGATATTATCAATTTAAGAAATCTATAGATTTATGCTTACATAATTAAACTCTTAGCATCTGTTTTAATATAATAAGGCGTCAATGAAGTAATTAATTAGTAAACTTTGACAAGTACGGAAAAAGTAAGTAACGAAGACATAAAATATGATAGTTATCTAAATGAAAAAGGCTATAACAAAAATCATTTAGGAGCTTAGGGAGTATTAATTTAGAGCTATCAATTCGGGTAAACGGATTGAGTTTGGATCGGGTAAATGTAGGTTGGGTCAACTTGGATCGGGTCAATTCGGGTTAATGTCGTAATCTATGCGTGTCAGGTTTGGGTTGGGTCATACATCTTATTGGGTTTAGGTCGGGTTACATTCGGGTTGGGTGAATTATAGGTTGGGTTTAATTCGAGTTTTTCACGGGTTAAAAAGGGTTAGGGTCATTCTCGGGTTTGAGTCGGGTTCGGTTCAAGTCGATAATTTGCGGGTTATAACAGGTCGGGTCATTCTCGGGTTTTAGTCGGGTTCGGTTCAAGTTAATAATTTGTGGGTTATAATCAGGTTGGGTCATTCTCGGGTTTAAGTCGGGTTCAGTTCAAGTCAATAATTTGCGGGTTACAATCAGATTGGGTCATTTCCAAGTCGGGTCATGTTCGGATTCAAGTCTAAGTTTTTGTATCTAAATTTTATATATATATCTATTTCTTTAAAAAAAAATTAAAAAAGTATATCTAAGTCTTTGTGAATCAATTTAATTATATATATCTATTTCCTAAACAAAAAAGTTATTATATGTCCAAGGGAAAAATAAAGGGAAAAAAACAAAAAAAAATTCTTTGAAAGATTGAGGGAATATCTTCCTTCCTTATCATTAAGAAAATAACTGCATATATACAATGTACATGCCTTTGTCAATCATTATAGGCTAAACTCTAGCTAACTATAAACAAATAACTATAATTTTATCAAGCTTTCTTTGACTATAGAACAACGTATATGGCAACATACTAGGAAACAATTTAGGATGAATTTAGGTCAGGCCAATAACAAGTCGTGTTGATTTCAGGTCGGGTTAGTAACATATTCGGTTAGTAATAGATCAGGTAAAATTTCGGTCAGGTTAGTAACAAGTCGAGTTAAATTCGAGTCCGATTAGTAACAAGTCAGTTTAAATTCGAGTCGAGTTAATAACAGGTCGGGTTAAATTCGGGCCGGGTTAGTAACAGGCCGGTTGAATTCGGGTCGGGCTAGTAACAGGTCGGGTTAAATTCAGGTTTTGACGAGTTAAAACGGGTTTGGATCAATCTCGGTTCAGGTCAATAATGGGTCATTTCCAGGTCGGTTCATGTTCAGGTTCGGGTCTCAAATTCTCGGGTTAACTCGGATCTAGGGTTGGTTTCAGGTCAGATCATATCGGGTTTGGGTCACCATTTTTCAAGTTCAAACAAATTGGTTAATAATTAGATTTGGGTTGATATTTCGGATGGAATCAGCTTTTAACGGCTTATGGTAGAACATTTTTCTTTGTCTATGTAGGAAATCCATTGTGCACTCCTTAACACACAATAATTTATGATCGAATGTTCTTTCTCGGGGCCTAGCCCCTCGTTTACATTTAAATTAAAAAAAAAAGGGTTATGATCGATTGTTAATAGTAGGAATTAGGAATACAATTTTATATACTTCGTACTTCGTATGAGTATTCTCTTATATTAAATTCTTAATTTCAATGGCTAAGAACATTTATGATTTATCTGTATATGCATATATAAACATTTATAGATCAATTTGTTACAATGGCTATAATGTTATTAGTTGTTCAAAGGATAAAATTACTTACATAGTTACATTGAATACATTGATTTAAAGTGAAATATTGATCTCTTTGTATTTCTCCTCTTTTAAAAGGAATGAAGAAAATATGTGCATGTATAGTTTCAAAAGTCAAAACTAAAAAAATGAAAAAAGTATGTCTTAAAGATAACAATTCTTTTTATTTTATTTTTATTTTTATTTTTTTATATCAAAACGTGTGTTAGTAAGCTATATATGGAGACAATGGAGTAGTCAACGACAGCGAAGATGTTATGTAATTAAAGTAATTACCCTTGAGAGGCCTTCTCCTTTGTCTCGATGCTTGGAGTCATTATTGACATCTGACCTGTAAATTAATTTGTATCAATATATAAATTTCATTTAAAATGGAGAATATATATATATATATATATATATATATATATATATATATATATATATATATATATATATATATATATATATATATATATATATATATATATATATATATATATATAACAGAAATCAACTTTCAAACTTCATAATGAAGTGTAAAAGAAACATTTTATTTATTTTTACTCAACACTTTAGATACTTGAAAATGATTTCTGCCCAATTAATCACAAAACACACTAGAAAATAAATTAAATGAGCTATAATTAAAGTAACCTTTAGGATGAAATAGATTGTCCGTGATAGCTTGTGGCATAGGGACTTTTGGTAGCTTCATCTGCCAGTAGTCCTCTTGTTCACAGCTTGATGCATGAAATGCTAGAAAAACAAGCTGTAAAAAAAATACAACAAATAAAAAGGATATATCATAATAAATTAAAGGAAATTGACTAGGTGCAACTCAAAACAAAACGAAGAATATTAGGGATTATTGAAAAATAACGGATATTTGGTATTAATTTTAGTGAACTGGTCGAATTTGAGAATAAAACCAATTTTTATAAAATGACACTCAAATTTGATATGCAAACTATATTTTGAACAATTATTAGTGAATAATGAATTAATGATACATCTTTCATAAAAAAAATGAATTAATGATACATACCCTTGTTCAAGTAAGAAGTAACAGTCATTGTTTTTAGGGACATATTAAATTGTTAATCATCTCATATGATTCTCTTTTCTCGAGTGTATAATCATAATTCATGTTAATTACATTCATATTAATAAGAAAATTAATATTATCTAAGATCATAATATAGTACTATAACTGACTGATTTCCCATGATAGAATGATAGGTAATTAGTGAGAAGTACACGCCCATACTAGACCAACAACCATAGATTATTGTCAAGTGTTAGTACTTTGAGTTTTGCTTGGTCAATAATGGTTTGTGACTTTGTGTTCATTTTAAACAAGCGTGATAAAAAAGTCAAATGGAACGTAAAATTGGTGAGCATGGTAGAATCATCACCGTGTACGAAGTTAAGGCCAATGATACTAGTGTATACTGCAAATTCATCTCGATATATACACATTCAAAATATCAAATTCTTAAATACTATAATTTATAGATAACAAAAATAACTAATGATTAAAAATACGCATTATGCATTGAGAATTATAAAATTTACTCTACATGTTGCAAAATTTGGAGCGAAGAAAGTATTAGTTAGTGCGGATGAATTTATTGCTTACCAAGAAAATTGCATGTAATTGTAACTGGGGCCCGAAATGCATGGCCATCTTTGGATTAAGAATTATGAAAACAAGAAGACTCTAGAGTGAGTGAGTGAGTAGTGATGAGTGAAGGCAAGAGTATTTATACTAGTTGTAAGCTTGATTGTAGCTACTCTTTACTTTGTACAACCACCCACATTATATTAGTTAATATTTGAATTTTTTTTTGTGTTTTTTTTATGTAATCTAAAATAGTACTTGTAAAAGTTAAAATCATATATTGATATTGTAAAAGTCTAACATTGTGGTTAAAATAGAATAAAGAATTTTGTTTTTTAATTGTATATATGATATGAATGAATATATTAATCTTGTGAATGCAATCATTGTTCGATGATCACTATAATTTCCACGCATTTCGAAAATTGAAAAAATTTAAAAAATAAAAATAAAAATAGACTAACAACTCCAGCAGTATTCGCGCGTTGCACGGTAGTGATAAGTAATTAATCCATATTTTTTTATATCTTTTGTTGTTAATAACTTTTTAAGTTTTTTATTTTTATTTTTTTTTGTATAAAGATGTTTTTTTATAAATATAAAAATACATGTACATAATGTTGTCTCATTCAGCGTTTTACATGTTTGACCTTTTTTATTTTTTTAATTTCATAATTTCTGATTTAAAAAAAAATATATACACTAAAAAACGCAGTGTTGTTTTTTTATTTATTTTATTATTATTGTTTTAATTTCTGGTTTAAAAACAAAAAAGAAAAAAAAAAATATTAAAGTTGTTGTGTTCTTGAGCTGCCCCACCTTCCTAGCTTAATCAACCTTTTTTCTTCTTTGTTCTACACCTGGAGTTCATGCACTATAGATTAGTGTCTCCTTCTCCAGCTTGAGGATTTATTATATTTGGTTTTTACCAATTATTCGACCCTCTTCCTGTTTTCACTCCTTTAATTAAAGTTTCTACTGTTCTTTCGAGGGAGAACCAATTTCTCATCTTGAGAAACACTTTTGTTTCTCATGGGGTATGTGTCAAGATCTGAGAGTTTCACTCACTTGTGGGACCGTCGGAACAAAACCTATTCCTCACAATGAGAAACAGGGAATTCCCCGTTCTTTTCTCCTTCACTTTCACTATACTCCTACCTTTAACCTTTTCTGTCCTTTGTTTCTTTTATTAATGGAAAATTTCAGTCATTGGACCGTGTATCGAATAGGGGTGTATTTAAAATCAACCTTTGAAGCATTATATTACTAATATCGATTAGAACAAAGTTGTCATTAGGCGATTCTTTGGGCCCAATCCTCCATGTCGTGCGATTGTTCAACAGATGGTCGACACAAGGTAATATAGTTGTTCATCGTACTAGTAGCAACACTCCTTCGTTTTGGATGGTAGAATTTGCTCATGAATTGATTTTGTTAAACACAAAACAATGGCAGCAATCAAAGCATATATATTTTCTGTATATTGCAATCATGTGAATATGGACTTAAATACAAAGAGGAGAAAAAGATAGGAAGCAACAATCGTATCCCAACCCAACCGCAATAATCGGATACGACATGATAATTATCACATATTGATACTTATTCACCCAAATAATACAATCATTATCACATATTGATAATTATCCACCCCAAAGAATACAATCATTATCATAATAACATAATTATCCTAACAAATTTTTTGTTAAGCAATGGTGTATAATTTTTTTTTTATATTTTTTTACAAAAATCAAAAATTACAAAAAAAAAAAATAATCAAATACACTATAAACACTGCATCGGACAACATTTTACACATTGAATTTTTTTTATAAAAAATCAGGGGTAAAACGCTGTTCGAGTCAGCATTTTATCCTAAAAGCTTAGTTTGATAAATAGTTTGATCACGTGTATATTTTAAAAATTAGTTTGTGAAATAGGCGTAGTTTGGTAAAACTTCCTAATATTTGAAAATATTAATTTTTTTTTTAATGTAATCTAAAATATTACTTGTAAAAGTTAAAATCATATATTGAAATATTGTAAAAGTCTAACATTGTGATTAAAATAAAATAAAGAATTTTGTTTTAAAATTATATACAAGTATATGATATGAATGAACATATTAATCTTGTGCATGCAATCATTGAATGATGAGTTGATGATCACTATAATTTCCACTCTTCGAAAAATTAAAAATAAAAAATAAAAATAGACTAACAACTCTAGCAAATATATAATTTGTATATATATTATCGATATTAAATTAGTATTTGCGTGTTACACGGTAGTGATAAGTGATTACTCCGTATTTTTTTATATCTTTTGTTGTTGATAACTTTTTAAGTTTTTTTTTTAATTTTTTTTTGTATAAAGATGTTTTTTATAAATATAAAAATATGTGTATATAATTCTTTTTTTAAGAGCTCTCCTACCTGAGGGGGAAAAACCCCTCACGAGTGAAAGTAACGGTATCCGAGGTCTACACCAATGAGAGGAAAATCCCTCATGAGAGATTCGGAATCCGCGCATTAGTCGAGGACTATAATTGTGAACAGTAGAGCTGGTGGGCCCCGGTCATTTGACAGCTTTTTTTTGCTTTTTAAAAAGTAAAATTAAATGGCATGTTGGCGGGGGCGCGTCATCCTGCCCATCCGGCTGGCGACATGTGTCCCTGCTAGATTAATTGACCAACGACAATTTTCTGCTTATTTGCAACGATAATAATATATTTAAACGGTATTATTACCGTTTAACTAAAAAAAATCACCAACGGTTATAAAATTTTATTTACTATAAATAGACATCCATTTTGATATACATTCATATACCAAAAAATTACTACATTCACTAATTTTTCATGCTACATCATCATAGTTACTATGTTATTGAAAATATATTAAAATGATGCTTAGACAAAATATATTTAATGTTGCATTATCAATTGAGCTTTACGTTTAGAATGGAAATTAAAGACACAGAATCTATTTCTATTAAATATTATTGTATTGTATTAGGATTATCCAAAATTAGTACGGTGTATACAACAATATTGATACAAAATTTAAGTTTCAGATTTTTTAGTTTCATACCTACTTTGTCCTAATTTCTAGCAAGTAACACTACTAGAAAACAGCTAATTTACGAGGGAAATATTCCGTCGGTAAACCTTAAAAATCCGTCGTAAAGTCCAGTTTCCGACGGAATTCCGTCGGAACACGCTGTCGGAGACCCCTTTGTAGGAAATTTGGGTTTTACCGAGGGATTTTCCGTCGGAAACATCTTTACCGACGGAATTTCCAACGGATTTTAGTTTCTCGTAACCTTAGTTTGACCAAAACTGGAGGTCCGTCGCAACTTTTCGACGGAATGATATCCCACGGAATATTCCCCTGTTCCGACGGAAAAATCCGTCGGAAGGCCCCACCTTTCCGAGGGAATTTTCCGTCGGAACAGGGGAAACTTACGAGGGAGTTTTCCGTCGGAAGGTCCCCTTTTCCGAGGGATTATATTTCCGTCAGAAGATCCCATTTTCCGAGGGATTTTAATTCCGTCGGAAGGTCTCCTTTTCCGAGGGATTTTAATTCCGTCGGAAGGTCTCCTTTTTCGAGGGATTGTAATTCCGTCGGAAGGTCTCCTTTTCCGAGGGATTATAATTCCGTCAGAAGGTCTCCTTTTCCGAGGGATTATAATTCCGTCAGAACTTTTCTTCTTTGCGACGAATTAAATTTCTATTTTGGCTATATATTTTCCTCCGGGACAAACCTGTAATTCCTGCTTCTTATATTATATTACTCACTGAATAATTTGTGCAAATATATATATATATATATATATATATATATATATATATATATATATATACACACTAATTCCAATGTTTACAATAAACACTAAGTTAATATAAAATTACAACTAACAAACAATAAGTTCATCAATGCTATACAACAGCGCGAAAGCCCTGGCCAGCTCCACCAAAACCCGGGTCGTCGTCCCTGGGATCTCGAAATGGAGGTCGCACGTTGGAACATGGGTCATTGGCGTAACGACCCATCATCTTTTCTTCCAGCCTCTTCTCCATTTCTTCCATTTGGGCTTGTAGTTGGGCTTGAACTTGGGCTTGAACTCGGGCTTCCATGTCAGCTTCCATTTGTTCCCGAATAGCCTGGACCCTGGATTCCATGTGATCCTGCATCTGAGAAACAAAGGAGGGCGTGTACTGCATGGAAGAGGTGGAAAGTCGGCGACCTATCTGGCTGCCATAGTACATGTCAGCACTTTCGCCTAGTCCCTTCACACGTCCTTTTTTGTTCCGACCACCCACTGTCTCCCAGTACAGCTCATTCGGACTCTTCTGAGTCCTTTGAGTGCTAGCCGCCTCAACCCTCTTTTGGTAGGCCTCCTACAAGATAAACATATAAAAGGGAACAAACGAGGTAGTAAGTTATACAAATAAGCTAAACCAAATTGAGCCAACTATGGCCTATTCTTAGCCATTTTCTATGTTTTTGACCAAATGAACAGCACAGTCTTTAACAGCTTATGCCTAAGGCTCAAAGGCTTTAGCAGCAAGCATACTTGAGCTTTCTTCATACTGAAGTTGCTCATACTGATCATTTGCTCATACTGATGGTTCGTTAGGCTACTGCTGTCTCTGGTTGGTTATGCTACTGCTGTGTCTGGTCAGCCTATTACGATCTACCATTGGCCCCAACAAATTGTCTAGCCACAGCGAATGAATCAAGCTGGGAAGTAAGGGATCGGAGCTGCTAGCACTGAGTGGTTTGTCTGAAAATAGGAGATGATTCAATATCAACCTATATCTTTTAGGTATTGTATGGGGTACATGCCTTGAAATCACAAAAAACTACAAGTCCCTAAGGTTTGGGACGCATTTTGAGCCAAATGGAGCCAACTATGGCCTGTATGACCTATTCTTTGCCCATTTTCTATGTTTTTTGACCAAATGAACAATTTCTTTCTCTAAACATGCATATTTTAGGTATTGTATGGGGTACAGGCCTTGAAATCACAAAAAACTACAAGTCTCTAAGGTTTGGGACGCATTTTGAGCCAAATGGAGCCAACTATGGCCTGCATGACCTATTTTTTTCCCATTTTCTATGTTTTTGACCAAATGAACTATTCTTTTTCTCATAAACACGCATATTTTAGGTATTGTAAGGGGTACAGGCCTTGAAATCACAAAATACTACAAGTCCCTAAGGTTTGGGACGCATTTTGAGCCAAATGGAGCCAACTATGGCCTGTATGACCTATTCTTTGCCCATTTTCTATGTTTTTGATCAAATGAACTATTTTTTTCTCTAAACATCTCTATTACAGGTAGTCTAAGGGGTACATGCCTTGAAATGCCAAAAAATTACAACTCCCTAAGGTTTGGGACGCATTTGGAGCCAAATTGAACCAACTATGGCCTATATGACCTATTCCTTGCCCATTTACTACTTTTTCGACCAAATGAACTATTTCTTTATCTACCCATATTCATGAATAATGAACCAAGGAAAAAAGTTTAGGGAATTTGTTACCGCGATTTGCTGAGCTGTGGGGTTTACTGGCACTGTGCCTTTCCCAGGCAGCTCCTTGAAGTGTGTCTTCAGAAACAGCTCAGGAGCTGTTGGTAGCTGGCCCTTGTTCTTCGCCGCCTTTGATACAAAAAATAGGAATAATCGTTAACCATGTCAAACTCTTGTTACATTGAAATACACAAATATGTCTTGTAATATAAGATATTTTTAAATAAATTTCCCATCCTTTTTGCATGTTGGGTAGCTGCCAACGAACCCTGAAAGTGGGTCCCTCGGACGGGATTTTCCATAGAACCGCCCCTTCTGTTCTTCTGGTTCTGCGCCGACCTCTCCTTGTAAGTTGGATCGTTAGCAACAATGTCCATCTGCTTGTGGAGCTCCGCACTCAACCAACTTGGCCTGGCGCCTTTCATCTTGTGCGTGATGGTGTGGAACATGTCACGCAGGCGTGTGGCTACCCTCCTCCGAAATGTGATCTTCACTAGTTTGTTCATCTGAGGTGCCCATCTGTATTGTGCCTTCAAATGATAAAATACAAAAGTTATACACAAAACTAAATCAACATAATAGCTAAAACATGTATTAACCAAGACCCAAAAATATCATACGCTGAACAACTTCCACCAGTGTTCCTTCGTAGCTAGAGGCACTTCCGAGAAGTTCCTCCAAGGGGCTCGGTAGTATCCAGTAATTGTACCGGATACCGCACTCCGAACCTTAGGATCATCAAACCTATAACAAACGGGAAACAACAATGTTAAACAAGTTCGAAATATGTAATATAAGCCTTGTATCCGATCATCCATATCATGATATTTACTTACCACAGCGTAGTAGGGTCCAAAAACAGGAGTTGTGACTCATCCTGTGGCTCGTCCTCTGACTCATCCCGTGGCCCATCTTCTACAGGAGTGGATGGGGACGTCTGATCCTCACCCAAATCGGTCGCCTCCGCATCGAACATCTCCTCATCCTGGTCGTCGGTGAACAGGGCGCGGGCGGTCTGTTTCTCTTTCCCCTTTGCTTTCTTCGACGGCTGCCCACTTTTTCCACCCGCCATGACTACCTGAATCAGATGTTAGTAAAATGACAAGATATTATAAATAAGGAGTGCAGTGCAACGTAATATGGCTTTTATACAAACACTAAAAAGTTTTACATAAGCCTCATTAATATTTAGATTTTACAATAAGAAGCATACGTTTAAAGGAGATAAACATTTTCTCCTATTCAGTACTCTCATCACTACTTTCACTACTAGAGTCATCACTACTATCATCTAAAACTACATCGATGTCATCATCATCGTCACTATCACTAGAGCCGATACTAGATTCATCGTCTTCATCGCTTGAGATCACAAAGCCATCATCATCGTCTTCATCATCATCATCCATAGCGTAGTCTGGAATGTCACTCGGCGGGCAAAGCGTTGCATGTAATGTTGGGGATGGTGATTGCAGAAACTCTAAGTCCACCGGAGCATCAACCACTGACCTTGCATGTGTTTTAAACACAGACCACCATTGAACTCGGTCCCATTTCAGGCTAGGGTATGATGCGTAGTACACTTGAGTCACTTGGTAAGATAAAACAAATGGATCATATTTGGGGTATTTCTTAGTATGATTTACTTCGATTAGCTTGTATTGTTCGTGTATGTTCATTCCCCTACCACAATCCATCCAATTGCACTTAAACAAAATTGTCTTGTACTGTCTCTTGGGTCCCGTGTAGACAAGTTCAATTATGTCTTCTAAGATGCCGAAGTACTCTCTGCCATCCTCACTAGATACACACACCCCATAATTCATGGTGGATTTGTGCTTGCCATGGGCATGTGTATGGAAATTAAATCCACCTACAAAAATCTGGCCCCAAGTACGAACTCGCCTGAAGGGACGCATGCACAACGCTCGCAGGACATCCGAATTTGGCTTCTCTTCGACCACCTATAAAGTGGTTGAATATCAGCATCAAGGTTCCTGAATTCAATGAATTGAAATGTAACATGTAAAATTCATTATTATTTCACGGTTACACCGCGTATATCACCTTGTGATGAAACCAATCAGAAAATTCAGTTTCGAAATTCTCCATGACATCTTCTCTACGCAGGAAAGGTCGAGTACTAAGAATGTAGTTCTCAAACTTCCTACGAGGCCAAACACACAATGTAAATCTACAAAGTCATCATTGTAAATGATCGTAAATAAGAATACACTGAATACCTAGGCCTAATATACCTTTCGTATTCGCCAAGAATGCCGGTGTTTCGTAACACGAATAAATGTGCACACTCGAGTTCTTTGTCATCTAAGAACCGAGCTCTACCCTCATTTGACACACGACCACTGTCCTCTTTGAACAACTCTGGTATTTCAGCGCTGTCCGATGTGGACTCAACGTCAGCATTCACATTTCGACCAAGATCTCGAGTTTTAGTGTCAACTGTCGACTGAAAGTAATTGGAGCAGAAGTTTTCTATCTCTTCAGTGAGATAAGCATTGCATATGGACCCTTCAACTCGAGCCTTGTTCCCAATTTTCCGTTTCAAATGATTGAGGAACCTGCAATTACAGTTGTTATGTAACTGTATGAACAATTGATTAGGATGTAAAATAAAGGATGTGAAATAAGGGTATTTGATTTACCTTTCGAAGGGATACATCCACCTGTATTGTACAGGACCACATAACTTCCCCTCGTACGGAAAATGTGTAGGCAAATGCTGCATGGAGTTAAAGAATGCAGGAGGGAAGATCTTCTCAAGCTTGCAGAGGATCTCAGGTATGTTTTTCTCCAATCGCTCCATGTCACTAACTGATGTTGTATAGCAACACAAGTCTCGGAAGAATTGGCTGATCTCTGTAATTGCATTCCAAATATGGCCAGGGAGCAATTCCCTCAAAGCTGTGGGCAACATCCTCTCCATGAACACGTGACAGTCATGGCTTTTCATTCCATAGAGCTTACACGCTTTCAAATCTACGCATCTGCTCAAATTGGAGGCGTAACCATCAGGGAACCGCAGCTGTTTAACCCACTCACACAAAACTTTTCTCTGAGCCTTGTCAAGAGCGAATGGAGCCTTTGGCATTACCTCTTTTCCTCTATCATCCTCTTGAAGATGAAGCTGGGGACGTTTACAATATTCAGCAATGTCATTTTGAGCTGAAGGGGTGTCACACGTAAGCTTTTTCACATCCATTACAGTGTGAATTAACTGATCAAAGAAGTTCTTCTCGATGTGCATGACATCTAAGTTATGACGAATGAGGAGATGCTTCCAATATGGGAGCTCCCACAAGGTGCTTTGCTTGAACCACCCCTTCTTTTCATTTTTCAGCCTTTTAATTGATTCGGGTCCATCTGTAGCCTTCGGAAGGTCCTTAACACATTCCCACAGCTCCTCTCCTGACATGATGTGTGGAGGGGCTCCTATCTCTACTTTGTTTCTACAGAATGTTGTTTTACTGTTCCTAAAAGGGTGATCTGTCGGCAGGAATTGTCGGTGGCAATCAAACCAAGAAACTTTACCACCATGTTCAAGCCAAAATGCTTTGGTCTTCTGCATGCAATGTGGACAAGCTTTCTTACCAGCCGTGGCCCAACCAGACAACATGCCATAAGCCGGGAAGTCACTAATGGTCCATAGGGTGGCTGCTCGAAGATTGAAATTTTGTTTCTTCGAAATATCATAAGTAGCCGCGCCGACTTCCCACAACAGTTTCAACTCCTCTATCAACGGTTGCATGTAAACATCCAAGTTGCCCTTAGGGTTTTTTGGACCAGGAACGAGCAACGAAAGGAACATGAATTGTCTTTTCATGCACATTGAAGGAGGCAAGTTATAAGGGGTCAAAATGACAGGCCAACAAGAATATTGACCCCCAAACTTACCATGAGGAGCAAAACCATCTGTACACAAGCCAAGTCTCACATTACGAGGCTCAGAAGCAAACTCTGGAAACCGACAATCGAGGTGCTTCCAAGCTGCGCTGTCACTAGGGTGTGCCATTGTGCCTTGAACTCTGGGATTTTTCGAATGCCATGTCATTTCCTCCGAAATGTTCTTCGTTGGAAACATTCTTTGCAACCTGGGTGTGATCGGGAAATAAAATAGAACATTCAAAGGCACTAGGCTACCTTTGGAAGTCTGCTTGTATCGGTCGCTGCCACACACCCTGCATTCAGACAACTGAGCATCATCCTTCCAAAACAACATACACCCTTTCGGGCACGCATGAATCTTTTGATGGTACAGTTCCAAACCCTTCACAATCTTCTTCACCTCGTAGAAAGTGTCGGCCATATGATTGTTGTTCGGGATCGCCTCACTTAGCAAAGAAGCAAACCCATCAACACATCTGTGAGGCAAATTATACTCACATTTGAGACTAGTGATTCTAGCGGCCATCTCTAACACGGACAAAGAACTCCCTTCGTATAATGGCCTTTCAGAAGCCTTCAACAAATCCAGAAAATGCTTAGCAGTTGCATTAGGCTCCTCCTCTGATGAAACACTAGCCTCCTCGGAATGACCTTGATCTTGACTATGACCAAAAGCATCCAAAACCATGTCATGATATTCATTGGACCGCCGTTCGGGAACTCCCGGATACCCCTCCCCTTGACACATCCACACGTAGTAGTTAGGTACGAAACCCTTGTCATACAGATGAATTTTAAACGTATCTGCATTCCAAAGGCGTTTGTTCTTACATTTAACACATGGACACCTAACCTCATCCGGATTACTACTCTCGGGATGATCTCTGACGTACTGAATGAATTCATCAACTCCTTTCACGAAATCTGGATTAATACTTTGCCCAATCGTCCTTTTATACATCCAGCTACGTTCTCTTCGTTTCATGATTACAACTTCTACACAGCTCATGCATATGTACAATCACATTAGTCATGAACGGTATTTTGCAGTCATTATCCACCACAGCGTTATGCAAATGCAAATGAGATTTGAAATGCTTCCAAAGGGTCCTTATCACTCCAACCTAACCTATCCTTGTACGTTTATTCTCACTAGTGAATGTAACCCAGGTTTTCAATTCTATGGAAAATCCGCCAGCATTTCCCTACAGTTCTCCAAGTACACGATGTAGGCGATTATACACACCTACATATGTACCCAGAGAACACGGTAGAGAAGTGCATGAAAAGGCAGGATTTTCCCTAGAATCAAAAACAAGGCTTACATTCACCACCTAAGTGAGAATAAGCGTACAAGGACAGTCCCAACCGGGGACTATTCAAGACATACTCCTAATGTGTATGCCTTGAACGGGTATCTAGGCATATGATTATGCAAATGATTCATTTATTATAATATATATAAAGTGAAGAACACATGCATTAAACTAAACAGAGACATATCATAATTAAAGTAAACTAAGCAAATAAATAAGCAGGCTTATTAAAGATTGTATTAAACATTATATCAAACATAAAAATTAAACTACATACACTAACATACACTTTATTAACCAAAACTAAACCAAATTTAAATAAACTAAATTAAAATAAACTAAACTATACTAAACTAAAATAGACTAAACTAACATACATTATTACCCTAAACTAAACCAAACTAAACTAACGTGTTATAATACATTAATTAAAAAGTAAACTTAAATAAACTAAACTAATCTAACATATTATAACACAAACACATTCATTTCAAATATTTGAACAAATTATAATATAAATACAACAACTTTTAAATACAACAACTAAAATCAATAATAAACTAACATATATCTACACACCATTAGGATCTATGCCAAGTATAAACTAAATTTATAAATTTAGCTTTAAAATACTCTCTAACCTGTAGATCTGAGTTTGTTATTGCCAAAGAACCAATTCAATCTACAAAACCTACAAATATTCAAATTCCAAACAAAAAATTAACAAAAAAATAAAAGTATAAACTACATTTATGATTTAATCTTTTTAGTTTATGCTTGCATTTTGTATAAGTTCAAAAATAATAATATATGTGAACTTATTAGAAAAAAAAAAAAAAAAAAATAGAGGGAAAACATAAACTACCTGCTGGCGGCGACGGCTGGTGGGCGTGGAGGTTGCAGACCCGCCGGCGAGTGAGGTGAAAGGTGGTGGTTGTTAGTAATTACTCCGGTAAGCCCTAGGTGAAAGGTGGTGGTTAGGGTTTTTCGGACACCAAAAAAAAAAAAAAAAAAAATTAAACCACAAATTGCGAACTTACCGGCGGCGGTGCAGCGGCGGCTGCGTCCTCTCTGTCTTCCTCTTTCTCCTTCTCCCTTTCTATCTCTTCCTCTTCCTCTTGAATTGCCCTCCATTTCTCTCTCTTCCTCTTTGTCGTTTTTTTTTGTTTCTGGGTTGCAGCAGTAGCAGAAACACGCGGTTTTTTTTTTTAATTGTTCTCAGTTTCCGACGGAATTGATTCCCTCAGAAATGTCAGGTTCCAACGGAATTTTCCGTCGGAACATGACATTTCCGAGGGAATTATTTCCGTCGGAAGATTCTACGAGGGAATATTCCGTCGGAATGGAAGCATTCTGAGGGAAATAAAATCCGTCGGAAAATTTCCGAGGGAATATTCCGTCGGTAGCGCATTATTCCGACGGATTATTCCTACAAAGTTAAATTCCCTTGGAAAGTTTGAATTTTCCAAGGGAATTAAATTCCGTCGGAAAATATCCCTCGGAAATAAGCCTATTTCTAGTAGTGTAAAATGATAGGGCAAAAAAAAATGATGACATCATATTAAAGTTTGGAGGGAAATTTTTTCAATGAGAGCTTGACACATAAGACACTCTAAGGAATTGATTACATCAGCACGTTTTTTTTTTAGTAATAGTTAATAAATGACTCAACAAGCTAATTAAGCAACCTAGACCATTCATTCCTAGCACGTAAACTCACTAAGTTGTATTAGAACTGGCAAATGGGTCATTCGGGTCGGGTATGAGTCGGGTCAAGTTCGGGTCGGGTCAGGTCATTTCGGGTTTCGGGTTGATTTTGGGTCGGGTATCGGGTCAACACTTCGGGCCGAGTTCGGGTCGGGTCAATTTTCGGGTGTAAATTTCGAGTAAGCTTTGATCGGGTCGGGTCATGTTCGGGTCGATGCATTGGGTTAAATTCAACTCTGTATATATATTTATTTATTTTTTTATGAGAAACTTACTATATTTATTAAGGCTACTTTTTTCATGGAATACATGGAGTAGTAATTGTTAGACTTTTATTGACCTTGTTTTTTTTTTGGTGTTTAGATTGAGAATCAATTTCAAGATCTCCTAAAACTAAGAGGGATGCTCTAACTAATTGAGTTATACCTCACTCTCTTATTGACCTTTGTTTTAATACTATTATTATCATTGTCACTGTTCACAGTTGTAATAATTTCTTTGTATTACTTTTATAATAATCTATAATATAATCTATGATTTAAATAGATTCTGCTCATTTCAGGTATAAGGTAATTTTAGTTCAGGTCACTTTGGGTTTTGAGTCTATTTGGGTCAATTAATTCAAGTTAAAGGTCGGGTCACTTTGGGTATCGGGTCAACTTCGGGTCGGGTCATTTCGGGTCTCGGGTAAACTTCGAGTCGGGTCGTTTCGGGTCAAGGTCGGGTATGGGTCGGGTCGGGTTGATTTCGGGTTTCGGGTAGATTTCGGGTTACTGTTTTCGGGTCATGGGTCGGATCATCGGGTCTGAGTCAGGATTGCCAGGTCTTAGTTGTATCATGATCAAACGATTTGATATTATCACCAAACTAACATTATGTTTTACCTTCAGTAATAATTTTGCAATTAAAGATCTTGAATTAATTGTCACCTAATAAAGCATATATTTTTTGAAAAAGAGCCACGATTTGATCTTGTGACCTACCTATTAATTATACACAAGTCCTCATCTTAAATCAAGACCTCGTGATATGGCATGGAACAAGACATATGTCGTGATATGTGCATTTGTATATTTTTTGGGCTTTCTTCCTTTGGCTAACATGCAAGTGCCAAATTCTAAGGATGTTACTAACTACCATTAAGAATAACTATATGCTATCACCATAGTTATTTACATGTATGTTTCTTCTTTTGACCTCCTCATCACCTTATCGACCACCACCATATAATTTAACCACCCTCGCAAGAGTTGCAACACCCTAACACATGTCAAGCATCAGCAAGCCATGGTCACTGCCTCCTAAGCAAAGGTTGCACCCGTACGAGGTTCGATGAGAAGGGTTCATCATATATATATATGGTGTTAGTCAGATGGGGTGGTCAAGTGTTGTTAACAATCTCTAGCTCCCAAGTCCCATGCATTTACTCTAGAGTCAAGAAAACTTAGATCAATGATTGAATATATAAACAAATACTAAGCATGCAAAAATCAAACCTAATCACTGGTGACATTAAATTTTATTTGGCTATAAAGTTGTACCATCACAAGATTCACAACGATTGTTCTACATTATCCGTGCAATATTCTCTCAATCCCAAAAGACTACCTACAAAATAGTTTCAAAGATAATGTTTCTAGTCTAGACAAGAGATAATCAAGGTCTTGTTTCAAGTAACAGTGTAACACAATTATTCATACAGCTTTAATATTTATTGTTTAGCACTGGCTTAATTAAAAGGTTATGACACTAATTATCGGGTAACATATTGCTTACATGCCTACTGCAATACTACGTACTAATAATGCAACATCATGTACAGTGGATGTCAATTATAGTTTAGTAATGACGTAATTGATAATTGAATGTCGTCTATATTATATGTCAATGCATGTATGCTCTAATACATTGTTTGATCATAATAAAGTACGTATGGTAGTTGTGAGATTGGTGACATTATTACTGAGTAGATACTTTGGACACTTGTTGGTTTAAACAAAATCAATTGCTACTATTAGTATAATAATTTGTCTATAATCGAGTCTTGACCTAGTGAGTAAGATTACAAGAATGTTTATTAAGTCCACAAGTAGTAAAGCTAGAAGAAATTATCGATAAGTGACTTTAATAAATCTTTACAACCACTCTACTAGTACTAATTAATCATGTTAATTAGGGAGCCAAAAGTCCAAAACAAGCCGACAAGAAACCAAATTCCATTTCTATAAATCTAAATTTTAAATCCAACCACGAGAATCATGAGCACTAGGCAATTTGACACGTATATTGATTGTTGGGGAAAATAATTAAGCGTCAATAATTGCTATTTTTATAAAAAAAAAATGATCTTAAATTCTTAATGCTTGTCAATATTAATAATCGCATTTCTTTATTAAGATAAGAATTAAATTGCATTGCAGATTTGCAACCTAATGTATGCACAGTCACACATAAGGTAAAGCAGTTACAAATTTTCTAAAATTAAAATGATCAATAAGTACAAATCTATTTTATTCATGCTTGGATTGATCTCTTTTTCATTGTTGTTTAATTCCTTTTGTTTTGTGATTTTGTCCAAATATTTCGAAAATGGAATTGAATTCGATACCTTGACATGAATCTGAATTAATATCAACCAATAATCAATTTGACCTAGTTCGTAATACTTTATGGTTCAAAGAAAAATAAACACTTAGTTGGAACTTGGAAAATAACACGATCCGTAGAAATGAACTCAAATCAACACTCAAGGACTGACTTGAAAAAATATTTTATTTTTGTGTAGGCAAACACACACGTAGTAATGCATCTCACTCTTCACTCATTTGGTTTGAAGTTTGATCAAGAAAAATTGAGCTCTTGGTATCAATGTTATTATCTTAGATATAATAAAATAATCCATATTATATTATTTTGGTATACTAGTAATAAGGATAATAAAATACTCTGTATTATGTTATTT